AAGGAAAGGCCCTTTTATTTCTTGATCTTCTTTGAAGGAAACTTCAAATTCTGTCTCTGTTTCTCTCTGTATATAAAGACACACACATGTAAACCCATACATATATTTACAGATATATACATGTGATCCCTTCCTTTTTAGAAAAGCATCAATAATTGCATTGCTTCTAAGGCAATTCTAAGATTTTTTTCATGTGAAATGAGGGGAGATATATTTTTTCCTCAGATTTCTCTCAAGCTCTTAAATTCTCATATTCTATGATAGTATTTAGGCCTTATTCATTCTTTTTCCTCAAATGCCTATATATAATTTTATTCTTGTATATATTTTACAGGAAATGATTGTGTACATGCTATCATTATTAAATAGAAATAAAATATACATGAGAAGAAAAAATATCTTGCTTTCGAGGGCTTAAGAACTTCATGGAATAAAAAGTGCTTTCTACTGTAAGTCAGAAAGACCTACGTAACAAAACAGATATATAAACAGGGACCTTGAAAAAGAATAATTAATATCCAATTCAGATGTCTTCTAGAACTATGATAGTTTTTCTTCTTTTGTTTCCTTCAGCCTGAATTCTGTATTTTCTTCTCCCCTTAGTCTGATGTCATGCATCTTATAAACAAAATCTGTACTAGGTTAGTTCTTTATGCTATATTTTAAAATTCCTTAAACTATGCCACATTTAGCGCATGAAAGAAATTGATTTACAGTTTTGGTTTCATATTAACATAAACAATTCAAGAAACATTATGCTTATAAAGATAGCCAAGTTTATTCTGTAGCTTTTATTTCATAATATGAAAAAAAGAATATTTTGGAAGTGTTTATCAGTCACACTAAAGAGGTTTCTAGCTTTCATTTTGATAAGTAAACATTGTGAAGTATTGTAGATACAATAGAACAACCGCCTCTACCACTATCTTCCCCCCTTGTAACTAATACTAGTGCTTTTTTCACTTGCAGAAGACTTGAATAGAGCTTACTGAGAGCCTCTCAGCATCTGACAAGAGTTCATTTGTTGCACCTGATCTCTGCTTTCAAAATAGATACCATTATCATCATCAACTTTAATAGGAAAATGAGTAAAAACAGTTCAATAATTTGCCCGACAGCATCATAAAATAGCTTACTACAGTGAACATGGGATTCTTGTCTAAGCCGATTGGCTAAAAAAAATCTGTGCTCTTCTGCATTCCACCTCACCCCACAAAGAATGGCTGCTATCAAGAAATCACACAATAACAAATGTTGGCGGGGTTGTGGGGAGAAAGGAACCCTCCTCCATTGTTGGTGGGAGTGCAGACTAGTGCAACCACTATGGAAATCAATATGGAGATACCTCAAAGAGCTTGGACTGGAGGTTCCATTTGACCCAGCCATCCCTCTGTTGGGTATCCTTCCAAGAGAACTAAAAGAATCATATCACAGAGAAGTATGTGCACCCATGTTTATAGCGGCACAGTTTGTAATAGCTAAATCTTGGAAACAACCTATTTGCCCATCCGTTGGAAACTGGATAAAGAAGATGTGGTTTTTCTATAAAATGGAATATTACTCAGCCATAAAGAGCGAGAGAATAGATTCATTCATAGGAAAATGGATACATATTGAAGATATACTCCTAAGTGAAATAAATAAGTCACACATGTGTAAATACCAAATAGTTTCCCTGGTGTGAATATTCTGCAACAATGCATAAGATTCTAATAAGATTACTGACATTTAGAAATTTGAAGAAAGGAGCTAAAGGTGTAGGGAAGGTGTGATGCATAGGGGAAGAACAAAAAGGGAAAAGAAAAAAATGTGAGAGAATGAAAAGATGAAAGTAAAGTGTTTGTAGATAGGGAGGGGAGGAGGGGGTGAAGGGAGGACAGAGGTAAGGGGAAAAAATGAGAATCAAGACTTGCCATGTAAAGGTACATGATCCCAACAATGAATGTAACTGTACTGTATCCCTAAAATGTACCAATAAACTCAATAAAAATTAAAAAAAAAAATCTGTGCTCTAAAAATAGCACAACGGGTACAAGAGAAATTGGGCAGTGCCTTGGACACTAAATGTATGAGCTCATAGTCAGTGATTTTTGTGACTAACAATAACAGGTTAAAGATGAATAGGTCCAACACTTATTTCTCTTCAAGAAAAAAATGGCCACAAAGAGACAGCCAACTAGATAATGACTTCACATTCTGTATGGTCATTGCTGTACTTCCTACCCTCTATGTACAAGAAAGCAAATTTACCAAGATTTTTCTTTTCAAGGAAGTGTTTTCCTTATAAAGTGAGCGTAGAAGTTTCTGTGCTCTTTTAGACTAGCTGCTTGGAGCAGGAATGAATTATAAGAGTGTGACTACCCTTTAAATCACATTCAAGCAGGGACAGACATTAGTTTCCAAGTCATTGATTCTATTCCTGTTTTGGATGCAAAGGGAAAGACATCTTTACACATTCCAGGAATGAACTCAGCTGGCCATAGGAGAGCCTCAGCACTCCAGTTTGGAAATAAAGGGCATGTGTTTGGTAACAATTTCTTCAAAAGAATCACGGCGGAGACAGCGATGATTTAGAAACTATCCTCTGAGGAAATTTATCATGCTCTTTGCAGGAGACAAAACAGCCTTCAATTTTGTATGCAAATTCTTGTCAGCAACTCCGTGTTGGTGTAATAGACAATATGTGATCATGCTATGAAAGCTGGTTTTTGTTTTTGTTTGTCGCTTTTTGTTTTGGTTTGGTTTTACATCAGAAAAGTGAACACTGCTTTATTTTACATCAGATCCAGGCAGGCAGGTTATGGGTGTGAATATTGGCTCACTTGGCTCGAGTGTGAGGAATATAAAACACTGTCTCTGACTAGATAAAACCACTTTTCCATTCAAGGGTTTGCTTTGTTTCACAGGATGGGTCGCCTTTTATACACTCTGTTTTTCAAAGGTGGATCCTTCTTTAGTCTGACCCTGTTTAGACAGCATCATCATTAACTGACTACCTGGCAACTTTTATCCTAGACCTAACCCTGTGTTCTATTGACCTAGAAGTATTTACTCAGACTCTGACTTTTAATATGATAACTTTCCAGCATCTTCATGTTCTCTAAAACAAGTTGGCGTCTTTCTTAATCTTCACTGGCTGCCATGACAAGCATCCACGAGTCGCACAGCTGCATATCTGAACTTCCTCATTTCTGAGTTCTAGAACCAGGGGGCTGGGTCTTTCCACCCGCAGGAGGCCTGGCTACTGTGCCCGGGGCTGGAGCAGCCAGCTTCTGACACCTCTGGACATGAGGACCCCACTCCAATCAGAGCAGGGCCTCTGCTTCACGTCCTCATCCGACTCTAATAATCTCAACCGAGATGCATGGGTGCTGGGCTTCAGCATGTGGGTTTGGGGCAGGGTACAATCATTCAGTCCATAACAGCACTAATCTTCCAGTTTTTGAGAAAGACACAGATTACGGTGGCTTGTTCATTCTCACACATGCAATTTGCATTCATTAATGTACCTTTTAAATAGCGTTTCTATTTTGTATTTATCTATAAATACCAGCTTAATCTTTTTAGGAACGAGTTAAAGTATAATAGTGTAACTGTAGGGACCCAGGGATGTGGTTCAGTGGCACTGTGCCTGCCTGGTGAGTGAAAGACCCTGAGTTCAATCCCTGGCACAGGTCAAAAAAAAATACAACTGTATTGTGATGACTGCTTTGGAACTTCATTTATTTTTCTAAATATAACAGTTTTGAACCTTCTGCCCAAATGTAGGTTGGGACCATTTCTAGAGGGTAGGTATCTAAATTCGTTAGCCATCTATGTCTTTGGCAAAATTTAAGCCCACCCATCCGAAGATGGAAAATATTGTTTTTACCTAATATGAAGGAATCAAGTCATTACAAATCAGTCATTCCAGTGCCTTAAAAGAAAGAAGCAGGGGTATTTCTAGGGATGATGGACAGAGACACAGTCTGCTCCCCTACCTGCCACGTCACAGGGGTTTGTGTATGTGGTGTGTACCGCTGTCACTCTGCGCGTACTAGAAGAAGGGCAGAAGTTTACCAGCGATGACATCCCCGAGCCAGGGCTGGAGCCCTGGAGGCACAGTCATTACCCTTCTCCCCACAAAGCCATCCGGCCTGGTTGTTGTGTTTTGCAGACGTCATGAGCCACGATGGGGCTGTAACACTGAGCCCCAGGAGCTCACAGTCTCTGCTCACAGAAGACTCATGTGCAAGTGTTCACTGCCTAGGCTCCAACTAATTGCTGGTGGCTTTGAATCTTTTTATTGGAAATTACTGCCTTTTCTATAGGATGCAGGGTTGGAATTCTTACTGGTCTCAAGCAACGAAAAAGAATGCAAACAAAGTCAGGAGATACAGAAAATTTTGCACTTTTGCTAAAGGAGCAAGGCCGTTTTTATACAGATCTTCAGGGACAGCAGTGCAGAGAATAGTAGTGACCTCAGTGTTGACCAAGCCAAGTCCAGCAGATTCTTGCATAGAACATTCTAAAAATACTCTGAAGCCTTTGCTTCTATGCCTCATGTTTGCTGTACTTGGGGAAGGATATCTAAGGGCCTGTTCTAGAGGAAAACATTAAGGTATTTCTTCAGTGAAAATCAGAGAAAGAAAGAAGGAGAAAACAAACAAACAAGCAAAAAAAGATGAAAGGGCATCAGAGTAACTTTAAAAAAACTCTAGCGTATATGTTGGTTTTTGAAAATATGCCATGTGTAACCACAGAATGCTTCTGCAGAGACTTAAGTGTAAGCAGAGTCATTACGCACTGTCCCCTAGGTTCAGATTTCTAGGAGAGTTACCTTCATTCAGAAGGCACTCAGCCCAGTGTGTGTATAAGGCAGAGCTGCCCCCGTACTCTTGCACCAATCCTGGCACCCTCTGACTGTAAAACCGTGGGGAGGGTGTAACCTCACAAGTAGGCTTCATTCTGATTGCCCAAGAATGTCCCGAGTGCCGGCGGGGGATGTGGTCCATTCTTACCAGGACATTGACCGTCACCTGAGCAGTCGCACTTCTCTGTCTGAGGGGGTCTGGGTAAGCGTCGTTGCCCACGTCTGTGACTCTCACAACTATCTTGTACTGTGACTCAGCTTCCCTGTCCAGGGAACCCAGTAGCTTTATCATTCCTGACGCCCAAAAGAGAAAAAAGGGAGATGTCATTTCCGGATTACTGAAGGCATCTGATTCCAGCTGAGGTGTAAGCTATATAAATGAACTAATCTTCACAATGCTAAATGCCAATTAACTGATGCAGTCTAAATTTGTTTGCTTCCATATGCATGCCCCTAGCGTTTACTTCTGCAGCAAAATAATAACAGGTGTTAACCCACACAGTATTTTAGCCACCTGTCACACATTCTTAGGGTTAGAGAAAAGCACACATGCACAGGTTTTCCCAAGTTCCATATATCAAAGATCAAAGTTTGGTTCTTTCCGTGCAGTAACTAAGGATTTATGGCTACAACTAACAAGCCAAGGTGAATACTTCACATTTCAAGAGGAAAATTTCTTTAAAAAAAAAAAGAAGATATTCTGGTGCTATGTCAATGTCTAAGTAAAGTAGATTCCAAATGAGTGTATGGGAACTGTTTATTTTTATTGTTAATTGCTAGCAGCATTCTGACAATACCTGTGTCTGGCTCCATGTAAAATCTGGGTGGCGTTCCTAGACGGCCTCCAACAATGGTGTACTTGAGACTGTTAAAAGGCCAGTCTGCATCTGAAAATGTGAGTTGCCCCACGAGTGTGTCAGCTGGACTATTCTCAGGTATAGTGAAGGTAAACGCCGAGGTAGTTCCAACCGGATCCAGCTCATTCATGCGAGGCACCCTTACGATGACTGTAACGATGGCTATGGAGAAAGAGGTGGATAAACACTCAACTGGGACCACTGCACACTTTCCTAAGTAATTCTTACTTCGCCGTTCAAATGAACACCTCATACTGCCTCTCACACTGCACATACAGGAATTACACCAGTGCGTTTACCATGCTGAGCTTTTTTGTGAGCAAAATGACTGCATTTTAAAAATTATAGAGCTTTTACTTTTAGGATGAAAATACTTCATTAATTGATATTTTTGAAAACCTGTAAAAGCAATCTCCACATGTGTCACGATGGACATAGATGCTCCTGCTTTGAACTGAAGATCTCAGTATGCAACCGCAGACACGGTGCTTAACACCTGGAACATGGTTAAATGGTTCAGCCTGACAATGTCATCGGTGGTGACAGAAATGCAGTTTATTATGAGAATCTGGGGATTGGGGTTTTCTGTAATGCAGAATAAACTCCCTTGAAGAAACTTAGATACACAGAGATTAAAGAAAAGCTCACACTGAGATAAATGCAAGGTACCACATTAAACATCTCAGTGCCACAATCTCAGGTGAGTGGAGGATTTTAGTTAGCATTTCAGTTTGAGAGCGGTAGTACTCGTGTGACAAGTCACTAACCACAGCAATTTATGTGCTTTATTATTATAACAGGTCATTGGGACATTCCAAAATAGACACTTCCAATAACTAATTTCAAGTTCTAAGTATTTTTTATGACAAAATACTTAGCATTTGAGATTGATGTCTTCTCACTTGAAAGGGCAGGACTTCCCTCATCAGACACTTTCACAAACAGCGTATATTTGAAGTGCATTCCTACAAAAACAGCACTGTCCGAATCTAGGTGTTTAGGTCCAACCTGTAAACACAAAACGGTGCAGCATTACTTTAGCTTGGTCTTGACTGAAAATTCATCTCATCTTTTATGTGAGTCTACAACTAAGTGACAAATATTTGAAAGCCACAAAACAGCACTGTCCAATAGAAACACAGTGAGCCTCAAAATCGAGCCACACGTGCAATTTTAGCATTCTGACTAGCCACAGTAAAAAGGTGAGATTAATTTTAACAAAGTAATTTATTCAATCAACCTTACCCTGCGTGCTACCATTCCAACATGTGATCTACACAGTGGGACTCCACAACTCTGTTCTCACAGTAGCTTTGTGAACTGCAGCGCTCCGGGCACAGCGACCACATATCGTGATTCGTGGCCAGCCACATGCAGGTGTGCAAACGCGCCCAGACCTAGCGTCCTCCATTCCGTAAACTTTTGCATTATGCAGAGTATACATTTATTGCAAACCAAGATATGATTACATATTCTAGTAATTTCACACTATGTTGCATTGCAAATGTATGGTTAAAAACAAAACTGGGGCTTTACTTTTATGTATGCGCCTTCACACTGACTCGCTTGCCACAGGCTTTCCTTTCCCACACGTTCTCCATCTAAATACAGAGGTGCCTGGACTAACGCTGGTTAGATTTACAAGCTTTTGATTTCAGAGTAGTGCCAAAGCAAGCTGCATTCAACCGAAAGCTATTTGAAATTTTCAGTGTTGATCTTCTCCTCAGCTAGCAATCCCCAGTGAGATACTCTCCTGATTTTGGACATCGGTAGGGAGTGAGCCAGCTTCCCCGTCTGCCCCGTGACTGCCAGGCCACAACCGATTCTCCGCAGTGCTCTGTGTTGCTAGGCTAGTCTGCTCCCATGTGAGGTATATTAAATGTATCTCTGACTTAAGATAGTGTCCACTTACAACAGGTTTAACCTAGGGATAACTCCATCATAGGGTCAAGGGTCGGCCACAGATACCATGCCCTCCTATCTTAAAGGTTTGTGAAAAGAAGTTGGCATGAATTTATTTTTTTCTAATATGAATTAGGTCTGAGTTGGTATTAATGGGAGTAATCTTTCAGAAGCAAGGTCTGAATTGTAAGCTTCAGAATCACGCAAAAGCAAAAGCAGAGGTTGACTCTGTGAGAGAGGTCACAGCAGCTCAGATTTTTGGTCTTTCCTTTCACTCTCGTGGGAGGAGTGTGCATGGCAGGCATGGTATTTTCAGGATCTGTAATAGTGTTAAGTACGAGGGGCCGTCAAGGCGTGTTCTCTCATGGCTCGTGCATAAGCACACTGTGCTCGGGTGGTCATGGCCGTGTCTGGGCGTGAGAAATGACATGATCGCGTGCCATCTCCTGTTCTTCTGAGGTCCCTTCTATGCCTTCACCATAGCTACCTTAACTATTTTTTTCAACACACAATCAACATTTGTTAGGCAGGGAAGTTATGTGCAGCAATTTGACAGAGAAAAGCATAGGTGGTTGACATTATTTTCTTAAAATTCTATAATGTTCCATAAATTACAAAATCTTGGAACTATGAATGAATTAAGCAAATAGAAGAAAAATAGTTTCTTCATAAATGACATAGACTATTAGGTAGTCACTAAGGTGCTTTTCGATTTGAAGATCCTACAGACTACCTTCTAAGTAGATAAAAACAAGAGACATGAAGAATACCAATGGCTTAAAGCCTGCTATCAATCAGTAAGTTAATGATTCACACTGGTATTACTGTTCTAAAACTGCTGTATGCCTTTTCTCACCCTTAATTTATATTATGATAATATTCAAACTAGACATAAGTTGAGCATTGAAATAAAACTATAACTACTCTTTAAAAAAGAAGCAGAGGCAGATACAAACATATACAGAAATTTTATATATGTCAGAGATAGAATTGCAGGGTGCTTTACAAGTATTACTGTCAGTTGGTAGTCCATAAACAAAAGGTATGGACTTCTTACTACCCTCTAAACCAAAAAAATCAATTATTTTACATTCTGAAACACTTACATAGTAAAGAACATTTGTTAAAATACTTACAGGAAAATATAGATTATTTTCCAGGATATGTGAACATATCACACAAACCCATGAGGAGAACAGGAATGGTGAATACGCATTTATCTGGTTTTCACAAAGGATGCTCAAATATTTCATGTTTATTCACGGAGCGAGTACATATACAAAAAGACACATGACTTATGTTAAACAGTGAGAGGGCACCAAGTACTAAGATGAAGGGTGCTAACAAGAACTCTGCTTACACACTGCTGGCAAAAATGTAAACTGGTACAACCAGTCTGGAAAACAACTGGACGCTAGCTACTGCATGTAGCTGGACATTTACAAGCTCGGACAGGGCAGCTCTGACCTTGGGTGTGTGCCTAAAGGAAGCGCCCAGTGGAACAGCCAACAATGCTCCTGACAGCCATCACATGGGCTGTGGTTTGTAACTGAAACATCCCCAAGGCTCAGGGTTGAAGTGATTGGATCCACTGCACTGGCCTTTCAGTGGATCAGTACCTGCATGGGTTCATCACTTAATGGCCAAATGGAAAATGCAGAAAACCAAAGAGGGGGACCTACTTCCAGGAATGGAGTCCTGGGTGCATGCTCTTGAGGAATGTATTTTGTCCCTGGCCCTGGCTCTCTCTGCCTTTCTCTGTTTCCTGGCTGCCATGAAGGGAGTGACTTACCTGCTTCACCACACAGGCCGAAAAGCAATGGAACACACTGACCAGGAGCTGAAACCTCTGAATCGGGAGGCAACATAAATCTTTCTGACTTAAAGTTGATTTCTCAGGTATTTTGGTTACAGTGACAGAAAGTTTAATGCAACACGATAAGCAAACACTAGGAAGAAGTTAATCGATGTGAAAATGATTAGAATCCCTTGGTGCAATATTAAGGAATAACATGGAATGTGATGGTGATTACAAAACTAGCAGATAGATATTCCCCATAGATAGTCTGCTTAGATATACAGCATAAACATACAGTCGAGGAGACTGCATACATTATGCCAATTTTTAATACTCAGAGACTAGATAAGCACAAGAATATTGTCTAAGAATATACACGAGGGTGATAAAACTACAAACTTCCTAAGGCTATGACAGAACAAAATTGGAGATACTACTTGTTCTAGAAGCCACATCAAAGGATGGGAAAGGCCAACCACACAGCTGCTAGTAATTTTCCAGTTCTAAAGTGGGTGATCAGTTCAGAGGTTGATTTTATTACCACACTGCATAACTTGCAAACATGTTAATCATGTTATTTTGAAGATATCAAATATTGCATCTTTAATCATTAAAAATAGACCAACTAAAATATAATGGGTCAAATTTTCAGGCCCATGCTCATAAAAGAAAAATAACCTAATAAAATATCTGATACCAATATTAACTGAAAGGAATTTCTATTTTATTATTTCATTTAAAAGCTAAATATACTGCATATGAAATCATTTGTACTAAATAGGAATTTACTGTTCGACATTAAAATTACAGGTTTATCTTTGGTAATCTGGAGAAAGTCATTGTTCAGTGAGTTTGGATAAATTTATAAATTTAAAATGAATACCAGTCTGCTAGAGCTTTAATTGTTATTTTGGCATAAAATGTTGGTGCTGATCTTAAATTGGAACTTTGAGTGACTGCATTGCTGAAATTCTATTTCTCCTCTTACTGCAATATGTATGCCAATATATGATCATCTGAGAACTAATTGATCTTATTTTGACATTAAAAACTTTATATCTAAATTATTGAGTTTAAAACTCAATCATTTATGCAAAGCCAGATACATTTTCTATTTCTGTTCTGCTAGTAAGTATTTAATTAACTTAGCATTAAAATTCTGTCCCTTCCTTTTTTCTATTAATGGGCTTTTCTTCCATGACTGCTACTGCAAAGTAAGGATGTTGTCCACATTAAGTCACACTTTTCAAAAAATTATGTTGTTCTTACTCCAATCATACAGAAATGGGGAAAAAAAGAGGTTTAGCTTACATCAGTGAGTTTTACTGAAGTCAATATTCCCTGATTTCCAAGGTAGGGTAGGAAACTCCCAAACAGCACTGTGGTTCAATGGTTTTGATTCTATGAATTTAATATGACTGGTTTTATGGTGTGAGTCAAAATCAGAGGACAATAATTTTGTTATTGTTTGTGTAGTCTCTGTGCTTATTTTACTTTTCTTACAGTTGTCTGATAGGGAAAATTCAAAAAATTGTTCTATGGTGCCAGGATTTTTATACTTCTTAATTGAGGATATTTTAATCTTGCATTATCTTCCATTATTGTATTATAATCCACTCGATTTGTTTTAATATTCTGATCATATCAGTGATATATTCAGTTGCAAAAAACTACAAAAAGCAGGAACTGATTCAGTAATTTGACACTAAATCCTGTCAGTGTCTTGCAAAGTGACTTCACAATTTAATTTTGTTCATTTACTATTCATTAATTGAGCCAATGATTAACATGTTGACATATCTAGCCAATACTAAGTATGTGGCAGACACTAGTTTAGTAACAGATATTTTCCTTTCACTGTTTGGGGAAACAAAGTGCTATGAGAATCTGAGGAGACACACCTGGCCCAGACAAGAGGGAAGATGGGAAATCGGGATGGCTTCCTGGAAGGGATGTGTGTTGATTCCAAACTCTGATGGCTCTGTGTGTACATAGCTTGCACATAGGGACCAGGAGGTCGAACCGGAAGACGTCACAGTAGTTCAAGGTTGTGAAAGTGACTCTAGCTTGGCCACACAGGGTGAGACACAAGTGTAAAGGTGACTGGGTGTGTAAGGAAGGTGTCGGGGCAGGCGTCCTCCTCACCAGAGGAGGGTGAGAAGAAAAGATCGTTACCTCCAACTCATCATCCCGACCCTGCTGGTTTGTTTGCTGCTGAGGATCACAGCGAGCTAATGACTGATAGGAAAAGTCTGACCCAGCTTACGCTTTTTACATTATGTGGCTAAGCAGCAAAAGATGGCTGATTTAGGCCTCAAGACCTACTGGGATAAAATCCAGTTTCCTGAGTTAGTAAAATATTTGTGGTGTTGCATTTTCCAGGAGGCAGTTCTCAAGTATGCACTTTTATTCTACTGCTGTTCCATACTCAATATTTAACATGTTTGTGAAAGGTAATTTCAACAAACCCCAAAGGAACAGACACCATTTTGTCATAGGACCAGTTGTTGTAGGAAATATAACCTTCCCAGTTCAATTCCCAAGATCAGATTGCATTCCAGCGCTCATCCCACAGCAGGATATGTTGTTGGCAAGTTAAGGTTCAGTTGAAAATCCCGGAACAAATTCCGCCATCAGCTATTTGAACTACTGTAGTTCATTAAGAATTTTTAAATAATAAAAATAAAATGTTTTTTCTATCTAGGGTTAATCATGGGGCCACAATCAGAGAGCGACTTTAAAATACTTACTTTTAGCTCATTGTTTGTGAGACTGAAGGTTTCATTTGAAAAGGGGTCCGCGATCAAATGATAAGTTATGTTGCTATTGGGAGAAGTTCCATCTGTATCTGTGCAGGCCAGAGAGATGAGAAGAGTTCCGACTGGGGTGTTTTCAGCAAGCTCAATTCTGTAACAAGTAAAATTCGAGGAAAAAAAGTAGCAAAACATATTAATGCAGACTTACACAGATGATCAGATTTAATATAAAAGGTGTTTTATAACAGGCTCACATTATAAACAACTACTTTGCCAGGAAGAAAATCACAGTGCTGGTCAAAAATTATATGAAAAAATGAACTGGAATCCTTGCTAAGACCAAGGATAATGAACTGTTAGTATGTTGAATTAATAAGTAGCAAATTGACCAAGACATACATGTGATTGAACACAATGATGAGTTGTACCTGCAATTCATAATCTTACATTTGTAGATCTATGTCACCTCCTCCAATTAATGGAATCCATGCTTAGTCTTTTAGGCAGATATAATATCACTGTCTCCATTTAAAGTAAGGTCTGTAAGAACTGCGGGGACTAAATCTACCCAACCAGGAATTGTTGAGTCTACCAATATTCAGTTTCCCTCCATATAATCCTGGCTTCTCTAACACTTCTCTCCTGGCTCAAGTCAGACAAACTGGCACATAAAATGGGAATGGAAAGCTGTGTGTCGGTGCTAGGTAAGGTGATTGAAATTTGGAGTGTCTCCCAAATACCTTCCCCTCTTTTCTCCATGTGGCTGGGAGCAAAAGCCAACAGCAGTTGAATAAATTGGTCTCCCTGAGGCACAGCAGGGAGGACTGCCACAAAGCACAGGCAGAAAACCAGGGTGCTCCTCTCAGGAGACGCAGCAGAAGGATGTCTACTGGATGCAGACAGTGATTCAGGTCTTCAAGATTTTTAATGGGAGCTTAGCGGTAAGTATGCTGGCTAGTATAACCTACTGTAACTGTATTTTTCTTCAGTTGTAAAAGATTCATTCTAATTTAATCATTGAAAACAACAGGATTCAAAAATAATAAAATAAAAGAAGAATTGCTAACATGTTAGGATGACAGCAATTCTGTTGCAAACACAAACTTCTCTAGTATTTCTCCAATGCAAATTGGAATCCTGCTGTCCAGAATAACAAGAGAAGGCAAAATACTGTAGGTGTGGCTGCGGAATTAGTCCTTGCTGTTACAAACTTCTATTTTTTTTAACAAAAAAACTCTGGTAAGAAGTTTACAAACTAAAACCTAGTTCTTCAAATTAGTTTTACTTACTGTATAAAATACACAAAAGGTACATATTTCTGGGGTACCACGTGATGATTCAATGCCTTATGTGGTACTTAAATTAGGTTAAGCACATTTATCTCTCAAGTGTTTATCATTTCAAATGGTGAAAGCTTTCAAAATCCTCTTAGTGTTTTGAAATATACAAAACATTACATAATCTGTAGTCAGTAGGCTGAGCAATAGTGCACCAGAACTTCTTACTCCTGGCTATAATTCAGGGCTAACCCATCTGCCTTTCCCAGCTCTCTCTTCCCCTTACTCGCTCTAGTCCCTGGTTGTCACCATTTTAGCCTCTTCACTTCTATGAGACTAGAAAATGTCATCGTTGAAGTACAATGGAGCAAAGACACAATTTCTGCATGTGGGTTCTGTACTTGTTTTATTACTATATGATTGCTTTTCTGTATATTTATTTACAAAATGTTGTTTAAGTGGGAGATATGGCATTCATGGGTACATCACCCAAAACCTTTCCTAAGAAGGTGCAGTACATCGTTTCTGCTCGGCAGGACCTTCTGTGTTTCAGGCGGAAGGCTGTCTTCCTACGCATGGCTGTTGGTCCCATACAGGTGGTATGCTGATGTGATGCACACACACCTACTTTTTCCCTATGGTTTTCTGTGTTCAGGTTGAACATTCCTAGTCCCAAAGGAGAAATGCTCCAAAATCTGTCATCATGCTAGTACACAGATAGTTTCGAATTTGGGAGCATTTCAGACTTGAATGCTGAACTTTTGTAGATCACAAATAAAGCAAGTGTTCTTGTGCCAGTGAAGGGAAAGGAAAAAAAGCTACATGTTCTCTTCAAATAAGCCAAGGAAAGAATGAATAGCTTTTGCTTCATTCCAGAGGTGGTACAACGATCACCCATTTATTTCTCTCCTGTGCCTCTCTATGCGAAACCCAAAGACTGAGCAATGGCGATCACGACTCACGTGTAAATGTCCCGAGAGCACCGAGGCGAGTTGTCATTCACATCCTGGAGAATCACCGTGAGTGTCCCAGTTGTTGAATGTGCCCGTTGGTTGTCATACACTCTGACACATAAGACCCAAGACTTTGGGATGCCTACATCTTCATAGTCCAAAGGATAGGCCACTGTTACCTCTCCTGAATCTAAAACGCAGCCAGATGAAAACATAGTCAGCAGGTGGATACAGTCAGGAGCTAAAGCCATGGCCTGGGTAAAATAGTTCTTAGCATGCAATAAAGGCTGACTGCCAACTTGGTGAAGCTAAGCAGCCAGTCACACTGCCCATCTGTGAGAAGGTGGTTGGCTTGGCGACAGGGAAGACAGGAACTTCGTACACGTGGTGATTGGACGACATCTCACGAGAGGGTCGTGAGGGTGGGGTGTGGAGCACAAAGTGAAGGCTATGCTGAACGTGGAAAAAGGAGCACACGAAAATCCGGGAGAAGACGAAGGTGCTTAGGGGCAGGAGGGCGGATGTGAGTGCCACGCAACAACAAAGAAAACTGGTCACAAGTTAACTGGGCATTGCTTTCTGATTATTTCTGTACCCAGTTTGCAGAGCCTGGAAGCTTAAGTGTGCTCACTTTCTCATGAGCAGTGCACGGATGCTCCCCTGTACAGCATATGTGTTCCCCTCACTTCCAAAGTGCTCACTCTCTGGGATTGTGTTCCCTCTAGTGCATTGCCTAGTGCACTGCTCAGGAGGAGCTACAGAAATCTGATTTCCTTAGTGCTTCCACCTCCCTCATATCTGTCTATTGTCTTTATGCACGAGATCATTCTGCTGTCTGTGTATTTTTAATGCTCATTTGGTGTCTTCAAGTTTTCTAAATATGTTATTTCATGAACTTATGAAAAAGGTTCTGGCCAAATGTCTCTAATTTCATCACCACCCTCTTATAAGTAACTCAGTCTTTTTTGTTTGTTTGTTTGTTTGTTTTGCCTAGGACCTCAAATAACTGTTTTTAAAGTTATCGTTTAGTAATTTATTAGAATATGTCTCAGATCTAGCCAGTCTGGATTGCTTTTTCTAGCAACATCATTTTCTTTTTAAATATGGAATTTCACATCTTTTATTATTGGACTGTGTCCCTGAATGGTACTTTTGTGTATTTCTTATCCCAGTGCTTTGGGTTGCTTCCTCTGGAATTTTTAGAATATGATCGAAAGTGTTGGCCCTTCTCTACCTATCATGTATAGCTGTCATCTTTGTGTGTGTGTGTGTGTGTGTGTGTGTCTATTCCTATGTAATTAAGTCTTTAAATAATCACAAATTTGTGGAAAAGATTTTTTTCTCCTGAGAGCAATTTGTTGACCTAATGCCTCACCTACCCTGCTATTTTAATGTGATTTCCCAAAAGCAGAGTTACTCTGCAGGGCAGCCAAAGTGCATGAATCAAAAGCAGAATGATCACATAGACCTGCAACACTGAGTATCTCAGTCACATTTCACCGGTGGTCACTATGTTTTTCGGGCAGATGTTCTAGTTCAGAATCACCCGATGTCGTGTCTCCTTGGGCTTCTTCAGTCTGTAACAGTTCTTCAGTTTTCCCTTGAGTTTTATGACTTTGGCCTTTTGGAAGATTAAAGGCTAGCCATTTTGGAGGATTTCTCTCAAACCGACCTTGCTGGATGTTTGCTCGTGATTAGATTTGGGTTGTGTACCTCTTGACTAAATGTCACAGATGCTCTGCTCCATTCTCGTTGTCTGACATTAGCTCGTGTCCTTACTGATGACATCTGCTTTAGTTACTTGACCAAGCTGGGGCGTGGCTGCCAGTGGAGTATGTACCTAAGTTACTGTCTTATCTTGATGTTTTCGAGATGTATTCTGTTTTTTTTTAATTTAAGACATTTTACTTATCAAATGAAAAGTATGCAAAGTTTTAAAAATACAACAAATGTAAGATAAATAGAAAAAGATTGAATAGAAATAAGTTAGATGAAAAATTGTGCACTTGGGTACAGTAGCCTGGCATTGCCTCAATAAAATACCCTATTAGTTGACAATGTTCAAATTTGTACTCCAAAGAAAATGGACTATAGTAATCATATAATTATATAAAGACAGTTCTCTAACAAGAAATAGGTCATAATACATATTTCACTAAACAAAACCCTTAACCAAACAAGGCAGAAACATGAAACCAAAGGGAAAATCATATATCTTGCACTATTACTGAATTTTGAAACTATGTAAACATTCCATTCCTCCTCCAACTCTCCATTTATATATGTATTCATGTCTCTGTGAACTCGGGGTGACTCATTTTATACGGTGGGTTGTAGAGTACAAACATAAGGCTGTATAACTCTGTATTGATACACACTCACTCTGAGAGTACATCACGTGTGACACTTATGTGCACGTATCCACGTATAATGAACACATCGGTAATAAGCACTTTCATCTCCTTCAGGGTTAATCTCGTGTGTGCACTGGGAACTTCTGCGCTGGTCTAGCTGATGCAAAGTGCACCACACCGTGCAAAGACCAGAGCCAATTCCTCCTACCCGCCTCTCCTTACCCTCACCCCACTCTGCCCAGCCCCTCTCCCTCCGGACCTTTCCATTCTCTAGTGACCACTGGCCACAGCGTTCTCCTGTGCGATCCACTTCTCTGTCTCTCGCTACAAGTGAGTGCGAGAATAAGAGGAGGGCCTTCTACCTTCCATGGGAAAATGTGTTTCTCCGAGGAAAAACACTGCGGTGCGGTGCTGGGAAACCTGCTGTGGGTCTGAGCCATCTGGAGTCTCTGGGAGAAGCGGTCGTGCAGCTCATTCCCACACGGAGAAGGGAGGAGAGGTTACATTTACCTCACATAAACACGGTAAGGGTGCTGACACGCGCGCTGGCTCGAGATGGTTTCTTCCTAGTAGAGTAACAGTCGGGCTTATTTTTAACTGGTCAAAAATATTCATATTATGCTTTCTGTAATGATTAGCCATAAAAATTGCCATACCTTCATTTATGAAAAATTCTTTGTGTGTCTCTACAAACTCATAGCGCACCGAGTCATCTGCATCTCTGTCCGTGGCCGTCAGCGTCGTCAGCTTTGTGCCAAGCGGCACGTTTTCATGAACATACAGAGGAGCATCAGGCGAGTATCTGTGGGACAAAGGGACATTTTTATCACTCGATGTAAACAAGCGTCTCTCTTCATCTAGGTCGCACGGTCAGTATTTTAAATTCCATATAATTTGTGCAGTAGAAGCTTAGGGCTGATACCTTCAAACCATCTGTAGATTGTTACACATTTTTGAGAATGATTATTTATTACAAAATGAACTTAATACTTTATGTACTCTCTTTATAGTGCTCTTCACTGACCGGTAAACTTCCCTTTGTTACAGGCAAGAAAGTTCTACCACCGCTGCAGACCTCGCTGTTTGACTTCATACCCATTAAATGTGGAAACATTTCCGGGCCGGCAAAGACTTAATAATATCCAAATTCTCTCCAGCGGCTGTACTGATCTCACAATATGAACACAACGATGTACATTTCCTATAATATTTTATTTTCAATAAATAGGAGGAAGTGAAAACCTGAATTCTATTTCACCAATAAATCGGATCATCTTTTGTAGTTTTCAGAGCAAAAGGTAAATGAATGGAGGTAACACTCCCTGAGGGATTAAAAAGCAGCAAGATAGAGTTCAAAGAAGTTTGGTATCTTAAGACGGCTTTGAATATGCTAGAGAAATTTCAGACTGGAAATAACAGTAAAACATTGAGATTGATCCATAGACAGTTTCACTGTGAAACCCCGGCTTCTGAGGACTGCAGGACCCGAGGCTCACGTGAGGAGCGGGCTCTCGTCGTTGACGTCCTGGATGTGCAGGGTGACGGTGCCCACGCAGGACTCCGCCGGGCCTCTCCCGCGGCTCCGCATGGCGATCACGAACTGGAAATGCTACGGAAGGGGGAAGGGAGAAGTCGCTGCTTCTGCAGTGCTTAAAGTATACAGTTGCTCTTTAAGCAAAATACGCTTTGAAAGTAAAACTGCGATACACTTTAAAATTTTGGAAGCATAAAAGTTTATAGTTCCCCAAACACCTGAAGACCCTCGGGTGAAAGGGGTCAAGGTTCATAATCTCAATCAGTTTCTGCCATGAACGCTGCCTTCCAGCTGGTAGGGGCCTTAGGTCCTATTTTAACAGGTTTCAGCGGACTATGTTTAAGGTGAAACCTGAGATTAAAATTTGTTGGAATAGAAAACTAAAGAAATAAACTTAGTTCTGCGACCATCTTACTCTTGGATATTTTTGAAAGACTTAGATGATTTATAAATTTCAAAAAATGTAAAATTTTATTTAAAGGAGTGACATTCCAATGCTCCAAATCGTTCAGAAATGTAGCCTAATAAATTATTAACCAGGTATAATGAAGCCAACAAAGGTTTTAAGGTTTAAATTAAATTTAATTCTGTAATAATGAGTACACGTGATCCCTTCAAAATACATTGAATTTAATAAAACTGCACCTTATTTAGCCTTCTAATTCAAGAATATTTTAAATTAAGAAAAAAATTGAAGATCACAAGGAAAGTTTATTAAAATTTGACATTCACAACAGCATTACCATGTAAGTAAATTATTATGCAAAACAGCATGTATGGATTGTTTATTTAGAGACAGAAGAAGCAAACAAGAAAGCATATATAGTAAGAGAAGAATGAATAATTTGTTCATGCCAAAAACTACCTCTTAGAAGAAGAATAAGGGTAAGGATGGCAACAAGAGTACTTTGGGATGCAAAATAGTGAATAAAACACTTTTGAACCAATAACTAGAGTTCGTGCTTTTATTAAAAAACTCTTGAATACTGATCATTTGATGTAATGTGCAATATTCTAGAAATAAAGACTAAGTTAAAATGACTTTGCTTTGGTAGAAATTACATTCAAATGGGGAAGACTGGCATGCAAATCAAATGAGGGAGGCAATCTATGGAGCAGTGGTTCTCCTGTAGCTCAGAATGACGTACAGAGCAAAATCACTGGCCCAGTCCTTCCGGAATACTCCTGACGTGAAATGATAAGTGGAGGAGCCACCTAATGTCCATATTAACTATGTGGCCTGAGAATTTCCAAGACATCAAATTCACATCTAAACTGGCCCAGGTCGCATGTTACCCTCCGGAGGACAAATCCTCAAAATCACCCAAATAGGTTTCCGGCATGAAAGCTCTTCTAAAGATAAGCTCATTTTGGAAATAAGTACACAAATAAATGAATAGCTAACCAGGATTCAAGTATCAAAATTTAATTAAGATATTAGTAAATTGAATTCAGTAATCTGTATTGAAAAATATCTCACGTGGGATGGACTACATGCCCGAACACAAGGATGGATAATCATAGAAAATGTACTAATGTAACTCAGAGTATTGATAGATTAAAGAAAAAGAAACTACATACTAATCTAAGCAGATAAAGATTCTTAAGTCAAAATTAATTTCCTGATAAAGTTAACAAACTAGTAATAAATGAAGTTTTCTTTATTCAATCAAGATTACTTACCAAAAACTCTATAGCAAATACCATTCTTATTAGAAACTTTTAAATAATATCTTTGTAAATCATGACAAAACAAGGATTCCAGCTAACACCATTTCTTGTAAATATTGTTCCAGAAGTAGTCATCAGAAAAGCAAAGCATATATTAAGTAAAAAAATTATAACAATTAGAGAGAAAAAAACAGCTGTCAATTTCCATAGATATTTTATGGAAATAACAGAACACATAACACATAGGAAATAAAAGGTCATCAGTGAATTACTAGAATCCAAAAAACAATTTTGCAACGTTGCTATTTTTCAAGATTAAAATAGCAAAATTAATAATTTCATACATAACCATGAAAAACACTTAAAAATAAAGTTTCATCAATAAAATTCAAAATGTCTAAGAATAGCATATATATTATGTGAAAGAACATTATGGATAAAAAACAGAAAATGTTACTGAAGGAGTTCTAAATCAATGAGTGAATCTTCCAAGGTTATTGGTGATAAAGATGCCTGTTTTCCTCCATGTAATTTATAAATTCAATGCAATTAAAATAAAAATGTCAGTGAGACTTTTTAATAAAATTAATCCTGACTGCTATATAAAAGAACAAAGAAATAAAACAAATGAAGGCAATTTGAGTGATATAGCAAAGCTGGTTAGGAGACACAATCCAGAAAAGTAGCTGTTTTAGCTGTTTTATTTTTTAACTCTCACATGACAAGAAAATTTCAAGCCAAATTATTTAAATAAATTGCAATTTTAAAAGCCGTGGTTTTTAAAAATGCCTTATAAATCTACTACTGCCTAACATTGAGAAATATTCAAAATACACAGAACACACTTGAAATTTATTGGCCTCATTTTCCAGAACAATTTGTTAGGCAAGAGCAATCTGTGTTGTCCTCTGTCTCCTTATAAACTTCTTCTGTCACATGTTTTGCAAACTTGCTATTTGACTGAGGCTTGAGGGAAAGAGGTTAGGGCTAGGGCAAGCCTCCCGAGTTGAGTAAGGCAGAAATAGGTGCAATTGTCCATATAATTCAAGACTAAAGGAAATCTAACTTTTTAAAACACATACAACATTACCATCGTTCTAGGCTTTTGAATACAGGTGATCTATTTTCTATCTTCTATCTAAACTCTAAGAAGTACACACAAAATGATATTTCAATGAAGTCTAAATTAAAAAGTAAAACGAAACTAATAAGCTTTATTTTCTTACAATAAGCATACATTTATGCTAGATAATGCAAAAATGCATTACTGTTACTGTAAGTATAGTAACTTTTGTTTCAATTTAGGTAAATTTTAATGATTATTTTAATTTGTCAAATATTTAACTATTCTGTTTCACACTGAGTCTCACCTTAGGATTTGTTTCATAGTCCAAAGGAGGTTCAGCGGTTTTAGAAATGATACCACTCAGTGAATCCAAAGCAAAATAGTCAGTGGCATTACTTGAAGAATTTAGTATTAAAAACTTAGGAAGAAAACCACACAAACATAGTTAATACATGAGTGGAAAAGCATGAATTTTGAACTGACAGTTTTGATGCAATTATTTGGCAAGAGCTATACCAAAATTAATTTTGTGAAGACAGTGCCCATAAATAAACTCTAAACTTACTCTTAGTTCCAGACTTCAAAACAATGTGAACATTCTTTCACATCTTTAGCTGTACTTTTCCCATTGGTTTTTGTGATTAAGTACTAGAGCATTTTTGGTAAATAGCTGTCATTGGTTTCATAATTAGTTTAGTTTCTGGTGTTGCATTTACAGCTTTTTCCAATATAAAAAGCATTCCCCTCTATTGCATACTCAGGAAGTGTATCTGAAGGCAGTAGATGCACTGAATTATTTGGAAGAAACCATTTACCCCATCTCTGTATTGATTTTCTGTCTGACAAAAATAATGTATTGTTGTGTCCAGAGATATTGTCTTTATGGGAATCAATATAAGAATATCCACGGTTACTACCCCTGTTCATAAACAGACTAGTATTCAAGATGAATATTAAAGGTTTTGAAAAGAATCCACAAAGAAACTAAACTGTAAAATATTTACATCCAGGGCCTGGCTCAAAGAAACACAGTCAAACCAGGGAGATGTAACATCCAATGCCACTTCAAAAAAAAACACAACAGCATTTGATGGGCTTATTACCTTACTTTCAGTCATCTGTTAGTGAACAACCAAAGTTGGCCTGTATTAGACTAAAATGCATTAAACATTTCTCATGAAAAACATCTCCTTTTGTCTCTTCCTTGCTTAGGATTTATTACAATTATCATCTTCCCAATCTGTGTTGTGTTGTTCTTCCCTAATGCCTTTTACAATGCAATTTGAATTTTACAGCAATTTTCACTTGTAGACAGTATACATGTGAGCATACAATTGGCATCCTACACACATGTGCTTGTCCTAGCCTAAGCCCGTACATATGTCCCGAAACCACCAATGAGCATTATCCCATGGCCTGACCTACACACACACACACACAGGCGAGGAGCTTCTAGCCTGGGAATCAAGCACGTCCATCTCCCCTATGGTGGCCTTTGCACTCCTGTGAACCGGTGTGCTGATGAATGCTTCATTATAATCAGGGAACCGTAAAAGTTACATAGAGACAAAATTCTCCAGAAAGCATTTCCCTCAAGTTTTAGCTTTAACCATATTCCCAAATGATAGTAATAAGCCAATATTTTTACAACAAGCATGAATAAGTAGAAAACAGTCTAAGTCCGTTCTATGGAGAATTTGATGAAGTCACTAAATGTAAGGCAAAATAGTTCCAATATATTAATGTAATTTATAATATGTAATCAAGAAACCATTTTTCTTAAACATTTAATTTGATTATGGCTCACATTATACCATAAAAATTTCTAAGAAAATAATGATGAATAAATTAGCTTAAATTTCTCTTTTCCCCTCTTAAGCTGTGACTATTTTGTCATCTATTACTCATTAATTCATTATTTCTTATAGTCTTGCTGAAACCAGAAATAATATGAAAATATAAAATATCCTTTATTCAAATTATGTGTAACATGCAGAAAACATGCCTTGTAGCATGAATAAATAGGAATGAACAATGTAAAGGACATTCTGTGTGTATAAATGTCATCAGATAAGTCCTAATAAAATACAAACTAATTTTTCAAGTGATCTCAGACCGTTCTAGGTCTTTTGCTTTCATTTTAAGACATACCATTTGTACGCTATATTACCACGTTTTAGTGTTCAACTTCCTTCTCTCACTTCAACGTTCATTGTAAGGTGGAAAAACTAATTAAAAGCTTGATGAAATCATTGTTTGCTTATTGAAAATTAAGCACCTGATTTTTTAAATCAAATTTGGAAAAATAAAAAATGATAGTGATAAACTTACTTCAACTTCTTGCCCTGGATCTGGGTCTCTTGAAAGAACCATATATATAAAGGCTGATGCAGGGACATTTTCAGGAACGGACAGGGAAACACCTGGGCAACACATGGATTGTGAGTGATAACTTGCATTATCGTGTTCTCCTGCGACAGTTTGTATCACGCAGGGGCTATGAGACGTCATGCTGTAAGAATTTCTACGTTGGTTATTTTGATTAGTTTTGTTTAACACAGGGTGTCCCTCCCTCTATTGTCCAGGTTATCTGGAATTCCTGGATGCAAGGGACCTTCCTGCTTCAGGACTCTGTACTAAGATCACAGGTGTGTGCCACTGTGCCTGGCTTTCATATAGGTTTCTTAATGATGTTTGTTTCAAGAAAAAACTGGAAATTAAAAAATGTATATTTGCTTTAACATTCATGATGGAAAGTGTTAAAAATTTGAGGTTCATATGGCTCTATTTTTAAGTCTTGGACTGATGTGTGGAAGAGGATATCCTATCTCAGTGTCTGGTACAACATCAATCTCACTAACATACTCAGCTGCCATTCCTTTACAGTAGAATACGAAGATTTTACCCATTTTCACAAGAATGTCCACAAAGTAGAGTACGACAGAGGCATCAGTCTTCTCCACTGCTGCCCTCACCTGTGCAGTGTGGATAGAGTACATGCTCTCCACACCCTGCTCCCCATCTCCCTTCCAGGAATGCCCCTGTGATTCTGTCAACCCCCAGGGCCAACACAGAAGCAGACGCATTTAAAGGATTGGCAGTCTCTTCCTCTGCTGTGCAAGCCTAGAAAGGATTTTATCTCAAAGGGTTGCCACTTACTCAGCATTTTAGTCTTGGATACCAAGTCCAGTCGATATTATGCAGCCCTGCAAAACTGCACACTCGTCTATGTCTAAGAATGTCATGGAACAATGTTTGTGTGAACAGGTCAGGGTCATTTTGTTCCTTTGCTTCAAACTGGGTTTGAAGAAGCAGATTCCCTTAATTCACTCATTTGCTCTGGTTAATTAGAGCAACTCAATAATTAAACACAGTAAGTATATTGAATACATGTGTGTCAAATCATAGGCCTATACTCTATAAGTAACTTTGCAGCGTCCTGCAGAATTAGACTGCATGGACGTGGCACTGAATTTTTTTCCTCCTCTGAGCCCAGGGCCCAATCCACATGATGGAAGAGGACCATGATCTTAACAGTCTGAGAAGTTCACCCTGGGGCCGCCAAGTCTGTGCTAGAAATCAGGTCTGAATGACCTTCTCAGGATCCATGTGTATCTCTTTAGTGCCTATGAAATTCAGGGAGACCGAAAGGAAATGACAAAGCACAGCATGTTACTTCATGATGATCCAGAAGATAGTGTTTTCACAGACACCAAGCTGGAGGGTGACCTGTGGCTCACCTCGGTCCCCCCCTCCCTCTCCTGTTTTAATCACACTGAAAACTACCTCTGTGTATTGCTTTAAATTGACTATAACAGATATATCTAAAAAGCAATGTAAATGAGTACTTTCTGGGAACAAAATCAAATGGAAAGCTGCATACTATTAGAAGTAGTGATTCTAATTCAGGAAGCCAAAATTTTATAGCTAAATGTAGAATTTGTAATGAAAGAAAAATTAACAGTAGAGCATGCTTATTAAAAAGTTAGTAAAGAATAATTTACTGTAATCTTACAAAGTGAAATGATTCTGTATAAAATAAGGTATGATCAGCATTACATTATAAAATAAGGAAATTATTTAGAGTTTATGCTACGCCTCATCTCTTGTTTTGAACACATAATTTTAATGGCTAAGCATCAAATCTATGTGCCACCTTATTGTTAAATTCTCACAGCTGGATGTTTGGATCACTTCCAATATTACAAACTCTATTACAAACTTTGCACTATACTGTAACTATATGTTCCACACTTTCACAAACTCTAAGACCTGGAAACACAGATAAAGATTGTAATCAATATTCCAAGTAAATATTTACTAAAATGGTATTCCACATGTTTCAAAATTCCCATCTTAAAAAGGGCTAACTTCTTTATTCCTCAAACAATGCTGCTTTTTGATGTGTTATTTTTATACCTTGGATGTGAAAAGTATATTTTATTAGTTAGATTTTTATGTTACATGTTGATTGCTACAGATAAATATAGAATAATTTTGCCATTACTCCTACGTTCCATCCATCACAGAAAGAAATGAAAGTTGAATTAGAACTACATTAACTCCAATTTCCTTCCTCTTGGGCATGGGATGCGTCTCTCATTTTATTCAGGTTTTAAAAAAACTGGTCCTTTATAAATGTAAACAACCCAAACTCCTACAAAATTACCAACACGATATTTTGAAAGTACTACGGCTGCAGCAACATCTCTCAGATCTTGTCAGTGAAACTGGAGTGAACGATACCTGTTTCAAAGTTCGGGTCGCAGGCGATGGCTTCTTCCTCCCGCCCCACCCACACAGTGAGCGTATAAGCACCGGTATTATTCCCGCTGTCTCTGGCCTCCATGTCCAGAGAGTAGGCTTTGCGGTTGTCCAGATGCAAAGGCTGGAGAAGTGTGATTATTCCTGTAGCTAATGAAAGCAATAAATTAAACAGTACTGGTCTCGAATAAGTTCACTTACATGGGTGATGTTTTAATTCACTTACTTTATTTTTCCACGCAGAAGGAAGTGATATTTATCTACTATATATCCTCAAATTATTTCTTTAAAACCTTCTGTTTACCTTATGTGTACACCTAAACATTATTATGTTTAGAAAATTTTATTGTATTTCCACCCATCTCTAAATTGTAATTATTTTATTGTTGTTTATGGAGGACAGGAAGAAGCTTTCTGACTTGAACAATTCTAAACACATATCGTTCTGCCTTCTTTCTATTAAAACAATAGAGTTATTGGCCTTTTGCACCTGAAAAGCTAGCTAAACCATGTTAAAATCATAATCATGCATTGCCTCTGCCATTTAGTTAATCTCATCACTTAAAAAGATGTAAAGTGAGCTTGAGGCTCAAACCTAGGGAAATTTGCAGACAGGAGTAAGTATTTAGCTCTGGCACAAAACTTGCCTTCCCTGGCATTTCTTCTTCTGCTTTGGCCTCCTGTACTCTGACCCTCTCCTGAATGGTGTAGTCACTCCCACTTAGGCCTTGGTCGCACTTACATTTCCCGTAGCTAGGTTCTTCTCCCTCAAAATGAGCATTTTGAAGATAAACGCATGAATTTCCTCCAACTCTAAGGATTCAAATAAATTATTTCATGTATTGGATGATCAGTGTTATGACTTTATAATGCATTAATGTTACTAAGCCAAATTATATTTCCCAGAACTCTATTTCTTGTGTGGTTCTGGTTTTGCTCAGCCCTCAGGGAGATTAGTGGCCCTCTGAGAGTGGAGAAGGGGACAGCAGCTTTTAGCGTCTTACACGAGTCCAGGCTGGTCCAGGGTGTGCAGGTGGCTTAAGCCTGTGACCACCTTACTTGCCTTTCTAAATCTTTGTGCTTCGCTGATTCTAGAACAAGTGTGTACATTAGCCCTGTGACCAGAGGCCCCGGCTTCTACGGGGCATGAGGCAGCCAAGGGCAGAGGCAGGAAGAACTAGAAGGAGTTTCGGTCCACCCTGTGGAGCAGCGGCCCAGCGTGCACTTCCGTGTTCCCATCCACCCCTAATGCCCCCACCTCCCATCCTTCTTTTCTTCCAGATTCCTTCCCTGTGGACTTCGCACTCTAGCTTCAGACACAGGAACCTTTCAGAGACTAAGCAACCAATCCCACACTACATGCCTGGTGCTTCTGTTTCTTTGAACCTGTGGATGATAAAATTTAGTACCAAGCTAGCTCCTAGGAGAGCAGAATTTTAGAACAGTAATCCTGTCCTCATAGCCAGAGATATATCCATAATCAACCACCAGTTATACCGGAAAAGCCCAACTGAAGAGACAGCTAGGGCTTATGCAGTTTACAAAGGATTTCACAGAATCATTTGTATCAATTATCTTTGAAAATTGGTGGCCAGTTATAAAAGCAAGGTCTGACGTCACTTCTTATTGTAAAAGAATGCCATTTTTATAAGAAGAAAAATAGCCTCTCTAAACCCCACATGTTGTTTTGGTTTTGCTTCTCTATGTTTAATTTTGCAAGGGTAGTTTTGCCAGCCCAAATTCTAAAGGGAGTGAGAAGATCAGATAGTGAACCTTTAGCCAAAACAGGCTGTAAGTATTTATCTCAAACTTACAAGGGTCCAAGCCAAACATCTCCTGCTGAGTTTTAAAGGCGTAAGTGATGCTGGTGTCTTCGTCTGGATCTATCGCCTTTACTCTTGCTACAATTTCTCCAACGGCTTTCTTTTCCGTCACATTAATGGAGTCCAGAGGAAATGGTCTAAAGGGAAACATGGTGATGGAAAAACTGTTGGTGGTACAAATTCACAAATTCTTACATGTATAATTTTCAGGTAATGGTGACCTGTTCCAAATCTAGTCAAATGTACGAAATTTATTAGTGGCATAAAGTTGCATAGCTTCTTCATGTGTGTGTGTGTGCGTGTGTGTGCGTGTGTGTGTGTGTGTGTGTGTGTGTGTGTAACATTAATTTTCACTCATACAGTCTTGGGTATGAAAACAGACATCAAAGGTATCATGACAAAAAGGGGGGTGAAAACAGAATGGGACAGTGGGCTTCTATTCTTCCAACTATCCAATGCACGGAATAGTTGGAATTAAACATAAGGAATATAATATATTCATTTTCATCTTCTTGTCTGGTTGAATGAAATGCTGTCCAAATAACTCATTAAGCGAGTTATCAAAATTGTCATGATTTTACTGTTCATCTCGTTAAGTCATATATAAAGTCTGCAGTCATTTCTAGAGCATTTCAGAAACTTAAATCCTTCTCTTATTCAGCCTTCCACTGAGCCATTCCTTACTGATGACCTACTGTGTGTCGTGCCAGTTCACACACATGTGACTAGGCCTTAGCTCGTGACATGCAGGAGCTCACTGCCAAGAGGGAACGCAGTTAACACCTCACTGTAATGGTGTGTGATAAATGCCATGATGCTGCTACAGATCTGGCAAGAAAAAAACACTGGTTCTGGGGATTGGAGAGAGTGGCAAGAAGACTTGAAAGGCATGTAAGGCTCAAGGAGAAGGAAGGGAAATGATGAAGGAGGTTGCCGGAGCAACCTGCTTCGTGGGTCCTTCACACATAATGTAAAGGGAATCCCCAGACCCATACCCGGAACTTTTCATTTCATTCAATGTTATTTACTGTGCTATACCTCAAGAGATTAAAAATATCTGGAGACAACATTTTGGCAATCTGGGGGCTGCTCATAATGCCTACGACTGAATTCCAATACTTGAGTCAAAGTCTCAGCTCATTCTTACAAAAGGAAGGACAGTAACAGAGTAGTAATCCCAAAGGTGCTGTTTCCTCTGCCTCCTGAGCAGCTGTTTCTAGAGATGAAGGAGCCTGGGCTCCAGCTCTGCTTCTGCTTTTCAAGCCATAAAGACAGCGAGTTTGTGGGCTACTCCTCTTGGTGCCCTGTAGAGACGCAAGTTGCTACTAAGAGAAAACGAATGTGAAAACTTCCATTTTCAGCTTTATGGATGTAGGGGGAAATACTTGATCACAATTAGATCATGATAATACATCTGATTACTGCATTTTCAAGTATAGAAAATCATCTAAATTTTCACTGATGATCAGGAAACATTTTTGAATGCTACATTTATATTTCAGGAACAGGAAAGCTAAAATACTTGAAGCATTCTAAATTATGTTTTAAGCTCAACGTTTTTATTTACAATTATTGTAGCTATGAAAGAGAAATGTAAGCGCTTTGGAACAAATTTGGGAAAGAAACCAAAGGGAGAAAAAGGCACACCAAAAATTTTAACCATGTTATATGCTAATCACTTCCAAATTTGCTTTGCAGTACTTTCTAATGCATATTTCACTTTGATTAGCGCCTGCATTAATTATGGATATATAATCATACAATTTTAACAGAATATCATAAAATATTCTCACATAGCTAGATATTCATTATTATTATTTACAATTCATATGAAAAGTTTAACCATTGTGGTTGCACTCTGAAATAAATGTGCTTACTCAAATTGAGGTCTTTCATCATTTATGTTTCTAATCTTGATAATTATTGTGCCTTGGCAGAACAGACCTGTGGTGTCCGTTGCTCTCAGTGTAAGCTGGAAAACCTGAAAAACAGTTTTAAAAACTTCGTGATATACTATTTGGTAATGCACATACTTCTGCATGATGTTTCCTGTTAAGGTGGGTTTTTTTTTTCCTCCAGTTAGAAACACTTTGTTTCTCTTCTAAGTAATTAAAGGAAATACAAGCACTTTCTTAGCTGGATTAGTAGTAAATTTCAAAACAGTTTCATTGTCTAGGCCATCGAATTTAATTCAGAGGTCTGTGTACCTTGGCTGCTTGCCTGAATATAAAAGAAATTCAACCAAAACTATGAAAGAATATGAACAAATTGTAGAATCACTCATTAACCCAAAGTCTAACACACTGAAAACTACTGGCAAAGCCAGCTGTTTGGCTTTAACTCCTAGAAACAGGGCCATGGGCCACTCCGGGATGTAATGTAATTTTTTAAGTGTTGAGAACATCTTTAGACTTTAAATATGTTCTGTGTTCCTTGACCACCTGTCACACTTCTCACCCCTGAGACCTTCGTTCACATTAGCAAGTATAGCCCCAGAGAAAACAATGAGGAAAAACCACTGCGGCGAGCTAGTACACAATCCATGTATCAAGAGCAAGCACCCAGCAACCCCAGTGGGGTGCAGCACTCCAGGCTGAGTCGAGTCTCCCATGACTGTCCCAAATTTCCATCTCTGGGATGCATGACTCTGTGTAAAGTCTTATATGGTGGGTCACAGGCACATATGGAAAGATGGGATGGACTGAAGGACTTGGCAGGAGTTTGCTGCATGTGTGTGTAGCAGCAGCTCCAGAAGCAGCAGCAGAGCGTGTCCCACAGGGCTCATCCGAGCAGCCTGCACATCTTCTCCCCCTCATCTCATCTTGGACCAGCAATCGCGCTGTCTAAAAGCTCTGTATTCTGTATCATTGGCCTCTGCACCATCCTCCAATGGCCAAAATACAAATTGAGTTTGAATGGAATCTATTCACTTCCTTCTACCATTTATGTGCTTTTGAAAACTAGAAAGCTAAGGCCATGCTCAACTATGAAGTCTTCTTTCTTCTAAACATTGAATCAGCAGTAAATTGTCTATTTTTCCTATAATGTCTTACACATCTCCCCTTTGTCCCTATTCCCTCGGTCCTGCACTGAGTTGTTCCATGTGGGGGCATTTCTGAAGACAGAAATGTTTTTTTCAATAATAGTAAGGACGGCGATAATGAACTCCTTCATCTCTCATACTTTACACCTCATTGCTGTGTGACTACATGAGCGCAGCAGCTAGGTAGCTGGGTTCTTTCTAGGCAGTTGTTCCTACTTCTATAAACTTCATTCTTCACTCCAAATTTTTAAAAAATCATGCTGAAATGCTTTCCTTAAATTATATTTCTCACAGAGTTCCCATAAATCATCTTTCCTATGGCATTAGTTTCGAATTCTTCTGTAAGATTCACTCCTTAGCTACTTACGTGTTTTAACGTTCTAGGCTATTGGTTCTAGTGTGAAAGCTTGACTCTTTTTAGTTTCTTTAATTTTTAGAAAAAGTTAAATAGTAATGATGTACCAATTTGATTTTTCCTGATAAAAATGACATATAAAATGAATTTCTTTCCTTAAACTTAAGGTAGATCTAAAAGTAAAGTCCTGACCCTTTGTTCAGATATACATTAGGCTTGGATCCAGACTTTTGGTTAACTACACAAATCCTTGCAAATGAATCACACTAAATATTAACTCTTCCTCTAAAATAATTGGTGCTTCATTTTTCATGATGAATTCAAATAGATAAAAGCTCCCTTTTACTCTATGTAGAAAAATAAATATGTTGCTTACATGGTATCCTTTGTCAAAGTCCAAAGTGTCTTCTCCTTTCAAGCTGACAACGCCATTTACAGCATCCACTCCAAAAGAGTTTGCTCCTATCTTCGGCCCTGATAACTGAGTCTCGATTGTGTACTGGAAAAATAAATATGTATTACTCCCCAGAAATGAATGAACAGTGTGAAGATCGCTAACATGCCATAACCAAACAAATGTGTAGAATATTTTATGCTGATTAATTTGTTGTTTCTTCATGTTCCAGCTGTTATTAGAACCACTAATGTATGCTTACTTTTAATAAAGGAAAGAAAGTTGAGTCGTTCAGCTTATTAACACAATCAAAACACTTACAGGCTTTTAGTAGAACTACAAAACACTGAAGATTTTCTAAGATAATTTACAAAATATTTAATTCTGATCCTGCAAATAAATACAACTCTGAAAGAATATACAAAATAAACTCATTATCGCAGTTTAAATAACACAAAACAAAGTAAAATTATGAGCATGAACAATATTCAAATATCAGGACAGTTGAAAATATAGTTCATGATTTATCTTGTTTTTCATTCACTTGTAGTTTTTGCCACCACTTAGGAAGAGAGGTGAAAGTAGATAAATCTATTCTCAAAAGTAACTCAACAAAATGCAGTTTGAATTGAGGTAAAAATTCATTAAATAAAATTAAGTGACTTTTTTTGGGTTTTTTTTTTTTTTTGAACCAGGGATTGAAGTCGGGTCCTTGCGCTTGCAAGGCAGGCCACCTCACTGCTGAGCTAAATCCCCGGCCCTATTTTTTTTTAAACTGAGTGACTTTTGTGAATTTCTTTTTAATCGAATATTCATTCTCTCTTCTAACAAGATTTCCTAGAACTCAAAAGCTTAAAATAACCACCTGCTGCTCCCCGGTATTCTTGCAAATGACAGAACTAGCTGGACCCTAGTTTGTTTGATTTTTTTTGGTCTATTGAAAAAGCGTCATCTAATGGGAAAGATCTCATGTTTCTTAACAATCTCACATTGGCTAGTCTACAACAAAATATTTTCTGAGCATTCCACTGGGATTTTTTGAATACTTTGACTGATAGCTGGACATATATCCCTGAAGGTTAAGCAAAGAAAAAATTCATATAGTTGTGGAATATATATATAATCATGGAAAACAAGAGACTTAGCAACTTCTCCAGGATTACCTGGCAGCTACCAGTCCAGTCATAGGTAGTCTGAGTTAGGAGACTCACCCTAGGCCAGTGGGTGTGCCATGACCTCAGGCTGTGGTGCAAAAGGAAACACACTGGTGGACTCAGTTTGCACTCACAGGGACAGCTGCACAGCAAGTGTGCTGGCCTCTGCATTGCAGGACACCACTAAACTCTCCAGACAGAACTTTACGGGTTCTTTTTATTTTGCCAAATCTCTAATAGATTTTACAACTATGAATATGAGAAAAGGAAGTCTCATTGAGTTAGATGCTTAGAGTTAGGGTACTGAAACATCAGAAAAGAATATATACACATGCATGATCACATTCACGTGTATCACTGGAACAGCTAGAAATGTTACAGCTCTGATTCACCTCCAAAAGGCAAAGCATGAGCTTTGCTCAGCAGTGGCCTCTCCCTCCAGCCCCCTACCTTGAGAACTCATCACGAGATCTTTCTGTACCCCTGAAGAACATAACTTCTAAAAATGCTATTTGCAACACTAACACATTCATGTTTCCTTGTTAGGTTCATTGAAGGCTTCTTAATCATCAAAGCTTGCTAACTGCTCTCGAAAAACATGCAGGTGCACTGTGCATGTGCCTGCGGAGCCGTGGGAATGGCAACACTGCGGGGGCCACCTACCGTCAGCCTGTCTCCATGTGCCAGATCCTCGTCTGTGGTCATCACTCTGTAAATGGACTGAAATAATGGGTAGTCCTCATCGATTTCCAAAACAGCTGTGAAGCAACAGTCAACACACTGTATCAAAAAGTGAAGTACATTGTGAAGTCTTTCTTTCTCCATAGGAAAAGCACAGCACTGTGTCATCACAGAGCAGACTGTAGGGCTGGGGTCATGTTTTAAGGCTGCAATCTGTGTGTTACACACTCTTGTAGTTTTCTTGATTTTCACTGCTCCCATCATGGGGCACCTTTTCCTCACTTCCTAGCATTCTCTGAAGCTAAATGTAACAGAACATGACATATCTGTGGACAAACCATGCTGTGGGGAGTTGGTGGGTGGCATCACAAGAAATTACTCTTATTTCTAGAGCCGAGGAGGTAGAAGGGAAGAACTGCTCCCTCCTGGGCAGGCGTAGAGATGACTAAGGAAGCTGCCATTCTTAGCCGCCTTTCAGCACCTTCCCCATCCTGGTGCAAGATGGGAGGGGCCCAGGAAAGAGCCAGGTTAATTGTTTTGTTGAGTTCTACTGTATTGTTTGTGACTGTGTACGTGTGTGTGTGTGTGTGTGTGTGTGTGTGTGTGTGTGTGTTTTACTACAGCTTACTGGAATATGAATTAGAAGTAAAGTTTACCTGAAACTTGATAACAAGACATTCTTATATGTTCTATTTTTAACATAAAAGGACAGATCAAATATATGTTATAATAAAACTGTGTTAATAAGTTACCAACTAAGTTTAATGTTTTTCTAATGTAGTTACATTTAAAATGAATGAACAGGAGATTTATTGCCCAGACCCAGCACCAGGAGGGCAGCCACGTGGGCGCCACTGATCACCTCCACCCCAACCCACCCCCGCTCTCAGATTCCCTGATGGTGCCAGTCCTTGAACACACTCTGAAGAGGCATGGTGGGCTATGAAGGGTGGTGATTGATCCTATTGTGTTTCTGATTGGATCGATTGGGATAAAGGATAGGGATTGATTTGATGAGTTGTTCTCACAATTATGAAAATGAGAATGTCTATAAGTCATTAGAGAATCAAAGGCTGGGACACAAGGATATCAGGAAGATTTAATGACCCAGAGATTGAATCAAGGGCAACTCACCAGCAAAAATAAATGAGAAAACACTTAAGCAAGCCACAAAGACAAACTTCCAGTCCACCAATGGCAAAAAGTAGGGCAAAGGAGGATGAAAAGTCTCATAGTGAAACTCCAGGACACTCAGAACTCACAGCACAGGAAGTAAAAAAACTGATCAATCAGGCTCTAGAAAAATTCAAACCAGAAATAATTTCCCAGGTAACTATAGAGATGGCGAGCAAAATGAAAGTCATGATTAGAGACTCCAGAACAGAAACAGACAAAAAAAAAAAAAAAAAAGATGAGCTCAGGACCATGATAGAAGCCATGAAGGCCCAGCATAAGAAAGAAATGGAAATAATGAATGCCCAACATAGGAAAGAAATGGAATCCATTAAACAGATTCAAACAGATATCCAGGAGATTAAAAACTCTATTGAAAGTGTGCACAACAGAATAAAAGATTGAAAAGATAGAATCTCAGACATAGAAGACAGTATCGTAGACAGTGACTGTGAAAAGAAAGATCTCTTAAAAAAAGTAAGGGATCATGAGAAATAGATCCAGCAACTCCTAGATGATGCAAAGAAGAATGACATAAGACTGATAGGAATCCATGAAGTGGCAGGAGAAAATGCAAATGACTTAAAAAAGCTGTTCACAGAATTAATGACAGAAAACTTCCCAGAGGGGAAGAATTTGACATACAGATAAGCAAGGCATATAGGACTCCAACTAGCCATGATAAAAAAAAAATCTATACCTAGACATATAATAATCAAGATCCCAGAAACCCAACAGAAGAACGAAATACTACAAGCAGTAAGAGAAAAGAAACAAATCACATGCAAAGGAAAGCCCATCAGAATCACAGCAGACTTTTCAACACAAACCCTCAGGTCAAGGAGAGCCTGGAGTGAGATATTTCAAGTCCTAAAAGAAAACAACCTACAACCAAGACTGATGTATCCTGCAAAACTCTTCTTTCAAAATGGATGGAGAAGTAAGATACTTCTGTGACAAAGAACACTTGAGAAACTTCATGAATACTAAACCACCACTACAAGGAACTTTAAACAATATCCTAGAAAAAGACAATGAAGATCACAACCCATGAGGCCTAACAGAGCAATTCAAATAGCCAAGGCAAGAAACTAAAAGGAAAGGACAAAAAATTAAAAAGAGTCAACAAAAGGACAACAACATGACAATAATAAGTCAGTACATATCAGTTATAACCATCAATGTCAATGGCCTCAATTCACCAATCAAGAGAAATAGATTGGCAGAAGCAAAACCCAACAATATATTGTATACAAGAAACACACCTAGTGCAAAAAGAAGCCCATAGACTGAAAGTGAAAGGATGGAAAACAATTCTCCACATGATATGAGCCCAGAGAAAAGCAGGGTAGCAATCTTATTCACAGACAAAGTAAATTTCAAACCAAAACTGATTAAGAGAGACAAAGAAGGCCACTACATCCTTGTAAAGGGAACAATTCAAGAGGAAGAAATGACAATCACAAACATATGTGCACCAAATATAAATGCCCCCAACTATATAAAACAAATATTAAGTAACATGAAAAACCAAATAAGCACTAATACAATTGTCATGGGGGATCTAAATACCTCACTATCACAAATAGATCATCTAGGCAAAAAAAAAAAAAATGAATGAACAGGAGATTTGGGGAAGAAGGATAAAGATGTCTATCTAGACTCATGTCTCCCAATATTTTCTGCAATAACAATGCAGAATCAAAGAAGAAATAGCATTACACCAAAGTCATGCCCTCTACATAACTTGAAGTCAATGCATGACCTAACTTTATAACTTTAAGAAAATTTTAAAAAGTAAGAAATTAACAACAAATTCAGCTTTTCTACAACCACAAGGTCTTGCACTAAGCAAGGAAGAACCCAGAAAAACTATAGCTTAGAGAAAAACAAGCAATGAAGCTAACAACAGCACTAATTACACTGTAAAATTGTTACCAGAAATATCAAAAGTCTACACAAATTGTATAAAGCCAGAAAACTCTGTTCTTGCCATGCATGGTTAGTACTGCAGAAAGAAATAAAAGGGAGTAAAAATACATCACCAAGCTTATGTTTTCCTAAATCTAGTAGGCAAAGCAGAGTTTTAGATATCAAATATTTTAAGTCAAATAATGAATAAATAAAAGCACACTAGAAATGCAGATACAGGCATGTAGAACTTTTTATTCAATCAAAACAGTTTTTTAAAAACTTTCCTAACAGTTGAACAAATGTCCAATTTTGACACTTCTTAAGCATTAGCCTGAGCTGTTTCCATTTCAGAGAGAATCGTTAGGGCAACCACTGAGTTGGACCTCACCACCCCTCTGTCACTCTTCAGCTGACTACGCATATTTCTCATGGTGTCTTTTGCTCCACACCTCCAACCCCTTCCCTGCTACTCCGGGGCACAGAGAGCCCTGTCTGCCCACTCAGTGTAAACAGAAGCAGTAAAGCCCGTGATGGCTGTCCTCTCCCCGGGGCCCACACACCTGCTGTTTGCACATTCTTCTCTGCTTCTGCTTCTGAGGAGAGGTCGTTCCATCCCTTCCACCTACTTCTCATGATGAGTTACTCATGCCCAAGCTTCTGTCCTTAAAAAAGCATCCTTGACCCAGCATGATTCTGTCCATAATCTGCTACCCTAAGGGCCACAGCCTATAGCTTTCTCTGCCTCCTGTTTGACTTTATTCCTCTCTGTAAACAGAAACTCTTCCCTGAAAGTAACTGATGAACTCCCTGCCTGCAGGCAGACCAAGGCTGCTCAGGGTCCATCTCATTTGACCTCTTTTGAACATTTACACAGTTGATTCTTCTTTCTTGGCAGAGCTAGAGCATTGCACATCTGTAGGAATTACTCTAAAATGTCTGAGAACCTCTGGAAAATTTTCCTGGGAAAATCGAAATTGGCAAGTTTCCTGAACTACCATTAAGTTCTCAGATCAGGCAGAGTCCTTATTAAAGCTTTGCAAATCCTACCCAGCAATGTTTTAAAAATCTGCAGTGTGCTGTAGGTTCTTCCCATCCTGTCGTATTTGCAGTTGCATCTTCTTCTGCCCCTCACATCTGAGAGCCAGTAGGGAGGAGAAAATAGGAAGTGGGTGGTTCTGACACGAAAGAACCCTATGTACTTACACTGATAGCCTGGGAGGGAACAGAATACTGGGCACTCTGACCCCTTCACAATGTTTTTTTTTTTTTTTTAAGTATTCAAGTTACTACTCAAAAGCAAAATCAGTATCAGTATTAAAGTGGCTGTGTGCACGTCTGTGTTTGCTGGGAGAAATAAATGCACGTTTATCCAAAAACAATACCAGTAACAGTAAAACCTAGTAAAAGAAAGCTTTTGTATTAACATAAAGGTGTAAATGTTACATTTTGAAATATAAACAAGGTTCCTTCCATGGTTATTGAAGAAACGAATGTGATATTTGAGTACAATGTAATAATTGCATATACAAAAGATCCTACTTTATTTTTGTAATAAACTTAAAACTATATAACATGAAGCACTTAATGAAATGAATATTGATTTTGTTTTGTAAGGTCCAAATTTCAAAATGGTAAATTTTTGACATAATTTTGTTTGTAAAACAAGCTTACAGTTAACATTCATGATTTTCTAAATCAAAAAATAACATACTATGTTTTCCTAGTACTTATTTTTAATTGTAACAATAAGGAAAATTTCTTCCAATCACACACCTAAATAAATGGCCCCTCCTCTCAGCTGTACTTTGTAAAACACTGTGCTAACATATGTGCTGAAAGGAGAATATTTAATCCTTCAAGACATTTTTAATTTGTGAAATACAGACATAGATGAGATTATGAATACAGACTTAGAAATGTTTAGAAGACGGATGAGTAGATGAGACATAAACCATTCACTGTTTCCACCTGAACTTCAATCTCACTATTTCTCACTTTCTCGTTCTTGTCTTCAACCTCCCAAATTAATTCTTCCCATTTGTTTACAAAATTACCCAAATGTCTCCTTTTGAATAGAACTAAACCTGACAGGAAGCTAGAAATCTCTTGTAGTTCTGCTGTGGCCTTCGCTCCAGGTTCACAGTTGAATTTCTGAAGAAACACTTCGTCTTTCTACGATGTCACTAACCAATCTACTTTATTCTGGCTGCCACCCCCATAACACCTATAAAATCCTTCGCAGACTCAGCAGACACCGTCGTGCCTGTCTCCAAGGGAACACAGTGGGCACGGGGACTCCAAGCACTGTGGACCCCCCGTCCCTGTGTCCTTCACATACCCGCTCCCCTGGCCATACCAGCTCCCCGGCTGCTCTTCGCCTTGGCAGACTGTCGTTACGTGTAGGAGTCTTCAAGGTTTGGCCCCATTCCCTCCTCTATTCTAATTCTCTGCTGTGTCTGAGTAATTTCATCCAAATCCATGGTTTCAATTACAAAACATTTATAGCCCGAGGCGAGACCGCTGAGCACAGCTGCTAACTTAAATCCCCCCTTTGATAGAACAAAGGCTTATCGAGCAGGACATGTTTGAAAGTGAGCTCCAGAGTCTTCTTTGCAAATTGGGTCTGTTCCTAGGTTTTCCTGTGGTGCTCGAGGGTCACACCGTTTATGTCAGGCAGAACCCTGACCCCCACCCCGCCTCTCTTCCTGTATATTGGACTCATGCGCGATCCATTTCAAATTTGCTATCTCCAGACTTCCCTCTCTTTACCTCTGTCCCCTTCCCAGGCCCAGCTATTCCACTCCTTTTCCGGGATTACTGACACAAGTTTAGGCATGCTCCACCCTCTTTTGCTCTACGCGTATTTTCACTTCCACCCATGAGTCAAATCTCGATTTCTGACCATTTTTTGTATGGTCTGTGAACTCAGAATACTTTTATGCTTTTAAATAGAAGTGATTAAAACAGTTTCAAAAGAGCAAAAGATGACTAATATCTTGTAACACAGGAAATCTGTATGAAATTCAAATTTTACTGTTCACAAATGAAATGTTAACAGAACGCATGTACACCCACTTGCTTTATATTGTTTCAACATTCTTGCTGCCGTGGCAGAATGCAGAGATGGAAATAGAGACCACACTATTACGGGGACAATCGGCCAGGCTGCCTCCAAATGAAGGAGAGCAGGCAACGTGGCAGAGACAGGGAGTATTCTTAGAGGAGCTGGGGCGAGGTCAGTGATGTAGCAGTAAGGGATTAGAGGAGCCTGTGACATCACTAGTTGTTAGGGAGGTAGCAAGTTATCAGGTTACTCTTGGCAGGAAGAGGGGCATTTTGGGAGAAGGTTGTCCTTTTGGTGGAAGAGGCCATATTCTAAATGGAAAGCAGGGCATTATGGGAAGGAGAAGGCTGTTGTTTTATGTGGCAGCCATCTCAAGGCAAGCAGAATCTAACAAATTCCAGCAATCTAAACACAGGACGGCTGTCAGTAGCATGTTGTTCTTTACTACCACAATGACCATCTTGGGAAGACCAGAAGAGTGGACATTGAATGACACACTTTCAAGGTACGAGGAGCGTGAATTATTTTGCTTTGAGTTATATGGCAAAGAATTGTGTTAATCGTACAATAGCTTCATAGCTGTGAGACTAGAATATGTTTCAGAGAAAGAAGAATAAGTATTCATCACAAGGTCCTCACCTAAGTGGAAAACAATGGTCAGTGATAGAAAATAATATTGTATGATGACAGATTGTATTCACAAACATAAAAAAGATATAATCACAAGCAACATAAGATTCTGAGTGATTCACTCATTTGCTAGCCAAGCAAGGAGAGCCATTCCCTGACATGGGATCACTCAACACCCTATTCAATAAAAGCACATTCTACCACCTCAAAAAACCCAAAAGAAAATCCACTTTTCTTGGTAGTATACCTGAAGTACAAATCATTGTAATGGTTTTTACTGTTATACCATTAAATTGTGTCAATTAAAAATTTATAGATTTTTTTCTTTCATATTTGTTTTATGAGCTTGAGTCTGAGCTACTTCATAAATAACATCCTAAACTCTGCATTTTTGACTGCAAAACTTCCAGTATTTATTATCTGGCCATTTGCGATACTTCCCACACCATCTGCATTGCCCTTGTGGTCTTTGTACCCAGTCCATAAGTCTGTTTGAAATCCCTGACTGCTATCGATACTTCAAAGGGCTTACACTCCCTCAAAGACAAGGGCAGACTTTTGAAAACATACTTCATTACTTTCAAATATTCATTCTATGTAACATTCTCTCCATTTCCAACACACGGAGACATTCATTTGCCCCAGTCACCATGCTCTATTCTCCCTCTGCACTTTATACTCACTTATTTCTGCAAGAAACACTGCTCCCTCCCCCTTTGTTGTCTATTCTTCTCAGAGATTGGGTTCAAAGTAAATCAGCGACTATTTGGCGAATGCATTCCTTACACCTTGTACTTGGGTAACCCGCACACAAAACACACACATTATTTGCTTCCATTGTAACAAATTCTTCATATTTATATTATGATATCACAACTGAAATATTACATTTACTGTTGTATCAAAGTCCCCACTCCTTGAAAAAAATTAAAATACGTTGAACCTTAAGGATATGAATTTTTTTTGGTATTTTACAAGTGAAAGTTTAAATTTTCATTTTAGATTACAAAAGAATTGTATTTACCTTTTCTCTCCTTTCTTACTTCTTTTATAATAACTCTTAGAGAATCTCATTTGCTGTTTTTAATGATTTTGTTTTCTAACCACATAAACATAGAGTAAAAATTTCTACATAGGAATCAGTTTTCCAACTGTTTCAGAGAGAGATTACACATTTTCTTATATATATGAATACCTGCCCATATTTTACATATTTATACAAACATGCATTACATGCATCATTTTAAAAGTCATTGAGCATCTCTATGCAAAAAGTTGTCCGGACCTCTTTCACTGCAGACAGATGTTGAAAATAAACCACAAAGAAACACTGAACATACCTGTGCCTGAGGAGAACTTGGGGTCAGCTGTGCAGTCTGGGGGCTCGGGAACATCAATGATATTAATGGTGAGAACACGCCTCCTGGGTCCCCCAGTGTCCACTATAAATAGGAACCTTATTGGATCCGTTTCATAATTAAAAACTTTGGTAGACGTGATTACTCCAGAAACTGGCAAAGAAATGATGCAAATCTGTCAATAGATGCCTTCTGTATCTTGAAAGATGTTAAAATTACACATATCAACTCTTACAACAAAACATCATTTGGAAATGTCATAATGTACCCAAAGTCACACTGTTCACAAGAATGCTTAATGAAGAAAAAAACTGCAAGTATTTTCCATTTTCAGTTTCTCACCATCTCATACATAAGGAAAAGACCAGCATGTGCAAATAATTGAAGATACTAATATTTTCTTTTGAAAATGTTGCATGAGCAAGACTTCTATATTTAACAAGTTGAATTCCCTCATTTTCAATGCATATAATTACCAAAAATTACAGAGACCATGAATGATGATCATGTTTTCATCTCAGTCATGTCTACATTTATTAACAGAAAAAAATGTAGTTTATATCCAATCTCATTAGTTTACCCTATGATGAGCTTTCCCTTTAATTACAACAAAGGTTTGCCAGAATTTTTAGCTGGCACAAAAGTTAACTATCATCAAGAATTCACAGTTTCCAAGGGAGGGTTACTCCCTTAAGAAAAGTATTTCTATTTTTTACCTGTTGCACCTGTTTCCACTTCCCCGCTGGCACAGCTGAGCATATGAGATTAGAAGAACGAGTTAAGTGAAGAAACAAAACCAAGAAATGCCAGTGTAGATGAAAGGAAGAAAAACAGGGGCACTAATAAAAAGAACAGTTTTTATCTTCTAATTAGCAATATTAATTTTGTTATATCTGGATATATTAAAAGAAACTATAATCAATTTTAGCCAATAAATTATTTGAAAATTAATGTTATATTTATGCTGCTTTGGGAAAGGCGAAGTCACAAAAAACACTGAATTAGAGAAAAAATTTGTTCTATATCTGGGCATTTCACTATTTTCCATAGCCAATATCTTTTTTAAAGTATATACTAACTAGGGCCAGAGATTTACCTCAGTGCTTCCACGGTCTGCCTTAGAAGCACAAAGTCCCGAGTTCGATCCCCAGTACCCAAAAATAAATAAATAAGTAAAAATACATACTGACAAATCTCAGCTGATGAATTTCCTAAGGACAAAAAGTGAGTCTCTAAAAGCTAAATTTTCTGTGAGCTTTTTTCAGTTCATGGAATGAGGAGAGCCAAGAAAAATCAAGTAACAAGGAGAAAAAGGAATAACTCAAACTGAACTTCTTTCAAACCGAGTTGGAGTTTACACATCCTATGGAAGTGGATCAACACACAGTCTCCGATATGGCTCCTGATCAAACCTTGAAGGGAAAATGGATTGGACCATTGGATGGCTACTTCCACTGTTTCTCCTACTGTGTCTCTCCTAGATAAATTGAACAAACTAAAAGTTGACTGAATAATCCAATGGTTCCTTCCTAACTCCCAAGAAAGAGCTTTTGCTCCTCACTTTGGTGTCAAGGATGTGATAGAGGAAGAGGCCCAGTTCCAGTGCTAACAATGCTTCGGCTGACCTGCTGCTGCCCTGTGGGAGCCCGAGGCCCATTCAGCAGAAGATGATTCTCCAGTGTGTGCCTCCTGGAGTGTCTTTCTGGCAGTCTTGGAGCCCGAGATTTCGGGGATGAATCCCCACCAATAACCCTGACTTGACATCTCCTACTGTTTGGGTCCACGAAGGGCTGGGTGCTGGAAGGGTTGGACCCCAGGGAGGAGCACTGGCAAGGGGGTGATATTTAAGATTGGGACTTCGGGAGGGGTCTTCAGGCCTTAGAGGGTCCCCCAAAGGGGTCACGGGGTGCCTGGCTTCCTTCTCCCTCTCATCGCTCCCAGCCATGAAGCAAGCAACTTTGCCGCACCATGCAGCCCAGCGCCATGTTCCCTCAGCACTTCCTCCACCACGCAAGGCCTACTGACCATGGGCTGTGGGCGCCACCTCTGAGACTGGGCACCAAACCGTGTCTTTTCCTTTTATGAGCTGGCTTCTTTTAGTTGTTCGACACAGTGACAGAAACCTGCCTGACACAGCAGCCCACAGAGGTAATGACAGACTGACGAACTCAGAGGACATGGACGGGTCAGTTTTCAGGGTTCACCTGGACTTCAAGATAAATTCAAACAAACCTTTAAATTCAGCCAAGCAAGAAGAGAAGAGCCATTTAGCCAACTCAGAGTGGTGACCAAGAAAACTGAGTGTTATTTGAGGTGGCTGTGTTTTGTGGTCATGTGTCCTACAGCCACACCACGGAGCAGCTACAGGAGGAGCGCAGATCTGAGCAGTTGGCGTTAGACTCGGAAACACCGCCACGTGTTCGTGAGTGAGGGGCCACGGACTGAGAAGAGTGGAGAAACACCTGCGTGGTGGGCATGGTCTCTGTCCTCCGCACAGCCACAGGAGAAGAATGTCAAAGAAGGAACAGTTTCAAAAAAAACGGAGAAGCATCGTTTTTTTCAAAGTTTGAAAGCACCACGAATATTAAAATTACTCCTCAGAGGGAGGGAATTATTTCTGAGCTAATAAGTCAAAAATGGGAAGGAGCCAATCAGGAGAAAAGGGCAGAGGAGGCAGAAGAGACAATATGTGCAAAGGCTCGGGGGAAAGCAAAGCTTCTGTTGGGAGATAAACTATGAAACCATTAATGGAGAACACTCTCTTTTCAGCCTGTAAAAATCAACACAAGCCACATTTTAATGAGATTTGCATGTTCGCCAGAGATTTAGCTCAGTGGCACTGAGCCTGCCTCAAAAGTGCAAGGTCACAAGTTTGATCCCTGGTACCAAAAGGAGCGGGTGGGGAGGGAGAGAGAGAGTCAGAGAAGACAGAGATAGAGTGTGTGCAGGGGTTGGTAGGAAACTTCAGGGAAATAATGAAGTACCCTGAGAGTCTTCATGGAGATCAGAAAAGCACAAGCAGGATTTGGATGCAAAGCGTCCGTAAGGACTCCGGTTGTGTCCCAAGGAGTCTGTAGTGCAGATTTCTGGGAGACAATGACAATCAGCCTGCCACACGAAGCACAGTCCTGATACTCTACACACCAGCACGAGATGGTGAGGGTGGCAGCAGAGGAGCTACTGGGTGGTGGCCCAGGGCTGGCCACCGCAGAAACAAGTCCTAGGAAAAGAGGATGAGCCCAGACTTGAACTACTGAATTTAAACTCAGTGTGAACCTGTAGGAGAGCTGGAGAGGTGCAGGATTTGGTGACAGTGGGCAAGCTTTGGTGTGTTTCACAGCTGTCCTCAGAGGGTGCATGAGTGAGGCTTAGCATAAGGAGGCAGGGAAATAATACAGAATAAGCAGAACAGAGGAGATAAATCACGCCTGGTGACAGCCTTAGAAATGGATTTCAGAGTCACACAGATTTGGATCCCAGGACTTACATTGGATAAGGCCAAGAGGCTGATGCCTGGAGCACTAGATGGGCCAGCATGGGCTAGCAGTCACCTAAGGACGGTGGCAGGACCTAGATGAGAGCAGGCCGTGGGGTACATCCTGAGTCCAGGCTCCGGAGGAGTTGCTGGCTCATTGTGGAGAGGACCAGATGTCCTGAGCTCCGCAGGGGAACCCCCACAAGGGGAGGAATCAGCCCTGCAGGGGGAGAAGCAAGCTGCTTCCCCCTTCCTGAGCAGGAGGAGTAAGGTGTGTGGGAGGAGGAGGAGAGCCAGCCTGAGACACTCTGCCGTTGTCCCCTGAGGTTACCCATTTTGGTTCAAGCCAAGAGGTACCGTCACGAAATATCTGATAAAGGAAGGGATCCTTAAAGCCCACTGAGCAATGAAGAATACTTCTGGAAGCACAAGTGGAGGGACAGATTGGAGAAGAGCGTGCGGTTGGGGTGGGGAGTAACAGGGGGTGGATCCTTAAAGCCCACTGAGCAATGAAGAATACTTCTGGAAGCACAAGTGGAGGGACAGATTGGAGAAGAGCGTGCGGTTGGGGTGGGGAGACTAACAGGGGCAGGAGGGGGAGCAGAGCAGAGCAGAGGAGAGGAGAGGAGAGGAGAGGAGAGCTACACAGCACAGGGACTTCAGCCTGGACAGCTGCTGCCAGGACGTGAGGGGCTGTGGGTCTGAGGGCCACGTGCTTTCCGGGCAATTAGACTGAACTAGGTGATTAAAGCGGAGTGTAAAGAGGCCAGCGTGCCCAGGCCACGGTCCTTGCGGTCAGCTCTCACAAATGTCAGATAGGGAGAGAGAGGAGGAGGAGGAGGAAGGGATGTGGGGTCCAAGTGGCAGGGACTGGGGATTCAGAAGGTTGCTCTGGCTGCAGAGGCCATGGGAGGATGGTGTCCCTGCTAGGACACTGGGGAAAGCAGAGTGGGTGGGAGAGATTTTACCCCAAACTCAGGCTCAGGGCACATCTCTTGTGAGAGAGCGAGGGGTGCAGCTGAGTGGGCAGCCTGAGCCTGACCGGGGTTTTTCTCTGAGAGGTGTAAAAACAGATAAGGAATATTTTGACATTTCTGAAGCGTAGTGCATGAGTGCAAGCTTCCATATTTTTTAAATTCCCGAAATGTCTTAGAATTTACAGCTACTTTACTGTGTGTGGAACTCAGGTTCTGGGGGAGGAGCCCTGTGGGAGGACAGTAAATTGATCCCACCTCAGAGGGTTTCAGAAACATTGTCCCTGTTTGTGACTGGCTGCGGTTAGCTTTCCACTGTGAACAGAAAGCAATTCTGCTTGTTTGCCTGTTTGTCATTTTAACCGAGACCCTTTTCCACGGTTTCTTCACACGTCCTGAGAGCCCGTTCTGAGGGCTTTCCGAGAGGTCAGGATGGCAGCGCAGCCCTAACGCACCAGAAGCCTTCCCTGCCCAAGCTGGCTGATTCGTCAAGACTGTGAGCAAGATGAATTCACTTGGCCAAAACGTCCAAGTCTTTCTTCATGTAATTAGTGCAAAAGTATAGACTGTGGGTCTTGTTTCCTACTATTGAAAGGCTTTCTCTCTCTCCGGAGAAAATGAGGGACTCAGGACCGTTCATGCCCAAAACTTCCTGTCATGTTAGGCAGGAAACCTGGGCAATGTCGGGCTATCATGGGTGCGGAGCAGAGCAGGCTCAGAAAGCAAAGTGTGACCCCCAAATCCAACAAGCCATTAGGGTGTAACTAAATAAATTTCCTTAGAGTCCAAGCCCGAAAAGAAATAGGTATAAAATAAATAAAAACCTATGATTGCTCAAATTCACTTACCTGCATCAATGACGAAGTCCTTTGTTTTATTCAGAAAGCGGTAGGCATCTGCTTTTCCGGCCACATCTTTGTCATAGGCGCGACTTAGCTGGGTGCCAGGAAGCAGGTTTTCAGGCAAGTTCACTGGGTTAATTAATATCTGAATTTCTGCTCCAATTTGGGAACACGCTGATGAGATGATACATAAAGACTTCGTAGGTAAGACCAAAAACATAAAAATGAAGTTTTATCCATAATCTTCCCTATTTTCAACCCCATCAACTATGTACGGAGCTGAAACTGTAACTGGGGAAAAGGTTGCACTTAACACTAAGTCACTGTTAATTCTCATTTTGTTAACTCTCATTTCAGTGGAGTTTGTTAAGTTGTGATCCCAGAATTACCATACTTTAGCTTATTGCTTCATTCGATATGTATATTTAGTAACTATTATGCAGAATGATTACTTTGGTCAAAAGGGTATTTCACTAATTTCCTTCTTTAATCGATCATTTCAGTCGAAGCAATTTGCATGTTCACTGCAACTCCGTTTTTAATATAAAATTTGTTGGATTACAATTGCATTACAATTTCTATTTTGACTTGCTCATTTTTCGTTGCTTTTCTTTTTTATTAGAATAAAGACAGTCTCTGGGTGTGACTCATTGTAGAGTGCAGTATATGCACCTTGCTGTGGAAATGAGACTTGGTAGATCCTGAACTTTACTCCCAGAGAACCTGGTAGATCTGAAAGTATGCAGTGTTCCTACAAATATTCAAAACCCAAAGCCACAGCTCAGCACTTAAAACAGTCATAAATTCATGAGTATTTCATGGGACTCTTCCTTGTAGAACAGAAAAAGATTAATACAGCAAATTAAGCAACTAAAAGAAGAACCTAAGGTGAAAAATATACCAAATGTTGAATTCTACTTGACATATGCTAAGATTTGTTTTCTTTCTTTAATCGTATCCACAGACACATACACACAAGAGCAAGAATTAAGGTGAGAAAGAGAAGAATAGCCATGAATTAAAAGGATCCCAGCAAAGATTCAAATTCCTCAACGCTTAAATTTGTTTCCTAAAAACAAATGAAGCATCAATTTTAGACCAACCTGTGCATATTAATACAATTTTGTGGAAGTTCATGTTTGGACGATGAGTTTCCCCGATGTCTGTGGCAATGCTGACCAACAAAGGCACAGCTGTGTCTATTTATACAAATTCGGTCTTTACACAGATTAAGCCCACAGGCCAATCCGTTGTTACTCAACATTGCAGCAATCTTTTCCTTCACGGCCCAAGTGACTGGGCACCTAGCTCATGTTTCAGCTCCTCTACCTGGCTCCCAGATGACTCTGGAGAGATCACCAACAGAGCCAGGATCACCACAGCTCTTTAACTCGTGTCTTGAGAGTCGACGGGGGTATCCTGGGGAGAATTTTTGGCAAAGAGTCCAGATGATCTGCTTCTCAATCCCTGTTGACCCAGTAGAGGGCTCCAGAAGGAGAATAAACCCTAACCCTCATCATACAGGTTTGTAAACCCGGAGACTATGAATCCACACAGATTTGAGTGGCCACAGCCGGGGTCCAGCCCTGTCCTGCTGGTCGAGGCCCTGCGAGGTGAGCCAGACCTGCACAGGCAACTTGGTCACCTGGCACCAGGGAGGACGCTGGCAACACAACAGAGTGGGTGACACGTTTCAGTAACACAACAGCAAAGTCCGGAGGAGGGAGAACTTCCAAAAGGGAAACAAAGAAAACTTAAAAGAAGCATCGATTTAAAAAAAAATTAAAAAAAGAAGGCCTTCAAGGTACCAGCATCACTTGTAACAGCAGTCTGTTAGGAAACAATTTTTACTGTTTCTCCCCATATATGTGCATTTGTATGTTAAAAAGTATTCAGATGCAGCAGGCCATAATATATTATTATATGCTTTTAAAATATTCAGAAGCACTGGAATAAATGTACAAAAATGATATAAATATTGAATACATTGCATTGGTACATATGTTACATCTTAGTTATCATAAATGTGGTTGAAGATAAAAAGATTTTTTCTCTCTAAAATATATTTTGCAGTATTTGTCATTATACCACTTAGTAAAGCTTCATGAAATAAAGAATTTTTAAGTTAATTTTATCTGTACATTTTGGATTCACCACGTCATGATCACATCCACCATGGGGCATCTATACCTGCACATGATATATCTTCATTCTCCTCTTCCCCCAATCCCCTCCCCTCCACTTCTTCCTCTCCTTATTTACAAAAGCTTTGTTTCCCTTTTTTCCCCTTCTATTCTTCTTTCTTTTCCCTTCCTCCCCCTGCCATGTCTCCCTTCCCATTTGAACATTTTCTTAACTATTTCACAATATCTGTTATACCTTACCCTTTCAGTTACTCACACAGGAGAACGTGATATTTAAACACATGAATCCGATTTATGAAATACAAAATTAAAGATGCATGAAAGTATTTTTAAAGAACTTACTTCATTTTATTCTTTAGTTATAGAAAGAGTCCTACACTTAAACAATGTAAGTACACGTGCATTATACATGAGTACGATCTCTCCTATACTGTTGAACAATACTATAGCGAGACAAGTTTCATTACTACTGACAATATTATTTTGCATTATACGATATTATATGTTCATAGCAGGGTCAGGGCTCAGCTTATGTCCACACCTGTTAGCTGTTAAAGCTGAAAGGATTGCAAAAATGTCTCAGGAAGTGTGCAGAAATACACAAGAAATGCATCCTTTTATACTTAATACATACTGCAATCATCTTTCAGTTCTGCCAGCAAATGCCCCAAAGCACCATCCACAGCTATAACATGCCCTTAATCCTTGATGTGAATCACATTTTTTCAAGTTCTTCCACAGGTATTTCATGTTACATCTTTAGAAGTCTAAAACCCACTGACACTTTTCATGAGGATGATTTTGAATAGATTAGAAAATCCCACAGGTGCAGGTGGGATCAGAGTTGTGGAGGTGGCACAGTCACAATGTATAAAGTATACAATAGTGCAAATATCTCCAAGGGACTTTCTTCACGAAAGCCACTGCTTTGTTATCTTTCATTAAATGCTACACTTGTCACTAAGAGACTGAGGAAATTTTATTATCTTCCAAGAGGTACTTGCATATCTTAGAAAATATTTAAGTACTATATTTTATACTGTTTATTATCATATTACATAGCGGTGATTGTTTAATACTAGTCTAACACATTTGGGACATTAATTGGGCATTGAAGTACTTGGTATTTATCTTCAGATCTGGGTCTGTGCTGCCTGTCTGTCTAGAATTCTTAGCAGCTATTTATTTCCTCCTTGTCTATGGTTACTTCTCTTTCAGCACCAGCTGGATGGCACCCAGGTCCTGAGTAGCCCTGCACCTGGTGTGCTGTCACTTTTTCAATACTAGAGGGCAATCTAAGTCCACTTTGGGCCCAAATGCACTTTGATCCATTCAGAAAGAGCCAGGGGAGGCCCTGGAAAGAGCAGCCTTCCCTGCCGGCCTCTCCTGGGGTCAGCTTGAACCCAGACGTCTCACTGAAGTGACTGACAGTGCTTACGCTGCCGGCTTCTTCTGGGCTCTGGCTGGAGTCACTGTAGGTGAGCCTGTAGCTCTGTGTTGGCAAACTGTCACCCTGAGCCCATGGGCCACCGAGACCACCAAGCCCAGGGCAGCACCAGGCCCACACTGCTGCGGGTGCCTATGCCTGAGGTGGACTCGTGGCCCAGCTGTTCACAGGGGATGGCGGCTGGGGCAGGAGTCTGGTCCCCGGGGTCTGTGTCTTCCGGCTCTGCAGCTGTCCCGGAAGCTCTGCTGGGAGGTGTAGGAGCCACTCCAGGGGAGCTTTCACCAGCCCAGCGTAGGGTTCCCAGGCAAAGCCCCAAAGCCCCCAGAGCTGCGTGCTTGACACTGTTCTACCCCCAGCACGTGGGGCCCTGCAGCCTGACTTGGGATCATGTTGGTGAAGTCTGATGCCACCCCGAGCAGCACCTGAGTCTCACAGACGAAGAACCAGAGGAAAGCTGAGGCCCGTGTCGCAGCCAGAGGCGACGATGCCCACTCACAAGTCGGTCCCGCTGAGGTGGGGGTCTGAACTGCTCAAGGTTGGGGGTGGTGGGGGAGACGGGAGGACCGTGGGTGTGGGTGTGGGTGTGCCTGGTCCCTCTGAGGACGCAATCCCTGGGGCCCAGCTCGATGACCGCCGGGTTTGCAGCCTCGGTCTGCGAGCGTGGGCTGTGGGCCTCCAGTTTCTGCAGGGTGCTGCGGCCCCAGAGCGGGCGCGGGACTGGGCTCCAAGCCGGCCCTGTGCTGGCCCTCTCCCTGCTGCCCGGGTGCGGTGTGCTCCCTCCTGGCTGTCCTGCCAGACACCGGCGGAGCAGTGGCTCAGGCCTGCAGCAGCTCAAGGAGACAGCTCTAGAGGCCAGGGCACCCCTGGGTACTGGGATGGAGGAGGAGAGGTCAGAGGCACAGGATTCAGCACAAGTGCCTGGGTGGGGCTGGGTCCAGACGCGAAGCCTGGACCTCATCCTGCCCCTTACAAGTAGAGGGTGTTTGAGTTGAGCTCCGGGAAGGGGTGGCACGCGGCCCTCCGCTTCCTGCCTTCTGCAGCACGCCTTTCCATTTGTGATTCCAAGAGCAAGCGCGGAGTTCTCACGCGCTTCCTTTAGCTCCCATGGGGCCGCCTTGCGTGTGAGCAGCTGTGAGGCCTGGTGTGCAGCGGGGAGATGGGTCCCAGGGCACCTCCGTCAGTCTTTCCCGCGTCCCACATTCTAGTACTTTTGGAAAATTTCTATCGTTGTTATTGTTACTTTTTCTGGCCCTGGGGAATGAGGCCAGGGAGCTCACCTGGAACTACATCCCCGACCCTTTTAAATTTTTTTATTTTTAGATAGGTTCTCGCTGATTCACAAAATGGCTGGGCTATACTTACAGAGAGTTTTTGTAAATATTGAAAAATCTCTGGGTGTAGGTTAAGGACAAAGGAATTTTAAAAATATTAAAATAATAAATATTTGTTGTGTAATTTAAAGGAGAGTTCGTACTTAGGTATTTATAAAAGCAGCAGGAATAGTCTGAACAATGCTTACCTTATCACAGAGCTGCTGCCCCAGACCACGGGTCTCCTCTGAGTGTGGCAGCTTATCCTGTGTCTTCTGGAATCAGGCCCCATTTTGAATCTTCCCAGCTCGGGGCTGTGTAACATGGCTGAGGTTTTCTTGGCGCTGACTTTTGAGACTATCACACACTTGGTAGGTGCTGTTCCCTTGGTGAAAGCCCCTCTCGTTTCCTGGGGACTCTCACGAAGTTATCTGCAGGGGCCTTAAAAACCTCTGCCACGCCGCGTGTATGTGACACAGTGTTCTGCCTCTCAGAATGCTCGGGATTTCCTCTCTGTGCTTTCTGTAAGACTTAATCCAAAGCTTGCCTACAGAAATTACATAATCACCATTGGCAGTGCCCATAATTGCCTGAAAACCCATCTAAGGTTAGCAGCATTCAAAGTTGAAATAATTCCTTCATTTACTTACTATATCAGTAAGTGCAGTTCCACTTTTTTCAAAATGCTTAGAAAATAAACATTCTCCAGAGCAGTATGCAACAATAAATGTTCTTCAAAGTTATTTTATCAATAGGATCTCTCCAGCACTGGGACTAAACAGGTGGAAATACGATCTAGGATTCACGATGCTAGAAAATTACTTTGAAACATACTCATCCTTTAACTAAGGAATCCAACCTTGGAGGGCAGGGGATGTAGTTCAGTGGTGCCGTGCCTGCCTCACAGGGCACAAGGTCCTGAGTTCAATCCCCTATACAAAAACAAAAATAAAGTTTACCCATGCAAGACTAATAATGTCTATAATTTAAATTAAAAATTCTATTGAACCTATAATAAAAGCTACCAACTCCTCTACTAGCAGTCGGATCAAACATAGCTTACATTACTGGGGTCAAGTTCTAAGGTGTTTGTATCTCAAGGCTTCTCCAGGACTTTGTGTGAATGAGGCAGAAATGGCACTGGTGATGCTGCTCCCTGGACAAGTTCTCCAGAACAGGTTCCCTGGGTGTAGGGCGCTGCCATGCAGCTCTCTAACGTTTCTGCAGGTCCAGAGAACTGAGGACCAGAGTATATCTTTCCATGCATATGTGTACAGCAGTTTTATCTCCCTTTTGAAGAAGGGGCTGGCTTTTCTATTTTCCAGTTGATCAGATCTTCCTCCTAGACTAGGAGGAGACTGACTTTATATCCGTCAGCTCCAGTCTCCTCTGCTCTGTCACAGGACACTGCACGTGTGGGCCTGCATAGTTTTCCTCACTGATAATGCAGCGTGTGGCAGCTCATCATGGCTACCATTGCTGTCAGGAAGCAGCCGTGAGGAAATTCATGAGAACAGGCCCTGCACAGGACCGGCAAAGAGCACCCAATGCTTACTGACTCTGCTCTAGCTTTATTTGGGCACCTCGGTGTAGGAGGGAATTCTCCAGCTTTCCCTGCAGAGCCACTACGTCCCTGGACCACAGGGCCTCTGGGGACAGCTGGTGACTCTCGAAGGTTGCCTGAGTGGTACAGCCTCACTCCCTTCACCATGTCAAACCGCTCGGCTCTAACGTATAAAGCTGACTGCGTCTCTCCTACGAAACCCTCTTCCCACAGAACAGAGTGCAAGCTATGTAGCTTGCAGCATTTTACAGTTCACCCCAACTCTTCCTCTCTCCTGGGCCACACTCCCAGGAAAATCATAGCTTTCCCTATTTTCTTTGATATCTTCATTCATTTCAGGTCTGGTTCAGCATTCTCATTTCTGCCTTGTGAGACTTTGCTCATTCTACAGGAGTCAGCTCCAGTGTCCCTTCCTCAGGGAAGCCCTGGCCCTCCCAGGAGCGAGAATCACCTCCTGTCTGACTGTCCACTCCTGTGGTGCTCACAGGAAAGCTCTGATGTTGGTCTGCTTGGTCTTCAAATGAATGAACAAGAATTTGCCTGTAGTGATATTGTGGATTAAATTCTATCACACAAATCTAGTCCTTTGAATTTGAAGTGCATGTGTATAAAGGTGTACATTAGAATCCAATCCGTCTGGCAAACACGTCCTGTCAAACACGGCTGCCTTGGCCCTTTGAAGGGACCCGTTTCTCTGCTGGAGACTAACAAATCCTGAT